CTGCCAGTGTTTATGAAACTGATGCAGGTTACCTTGTTAGCTTGCAAGCTGCGTAAAATCTCACAGTTCTTGGCAATCATTTCTGAGCTGGGTTTTGAGGACTCATTTCCCTTTGGATAGTAGGGGAAGGGTATTGCAGGCAGAGGGAGCAGCTCCTATTCATATAAAGGCAGAGACAGATTGTGGAGGGCTTTGTGGAGGATTTTTTTTTTTCCTTTGAGATGGAGTCTTGCTTTGTTGCCCAAGCTGGAGTGCACTGGCGTGATCTCTGCTTACTGCAACCTCTGCCTCCTCGGTTCAAGAGATTCTCTTGCCTCAGCCTCCTGAATAGCTGGGATTCCCGGCGTGCACCACCAAGTCTGGCCAATTTTTGTATTTTTAGTAGAGATGGGTTTTCACCATGTTTGCCAGGCTGGTCTCGAACTCCTGACCTTAAGTGATCTGCCTGCCTCTGTCCCCTAAGGTGCTGGGATTACGGGTGTGAACCACCGCGCTTGGCCCTGGAGGATTTTATTCTGTGTTTAAAACACAGAATAAAAGACAGGAAGTGGGGAAGACCGTGGCAAGACAACCAGTTAGGACACTGTTACAGTAGTCCAACAAAAACACTGCAAACTAGAGGAGGAGCTTCTGAGGAAGAAAGGAGTCATACATGGGGAAAAATGACATCAGTTTCGGACAACTCAGGTAGAGATGTCCTGCAGGAAAAATCTTCAATCCTCCTGGCACTCAAGAGGGGAGTTTGAGCCTAGAGATGGTGTTTTGGGAAACAGCGTATAATATAGTAGTGAATTCAGGTGAATTCATAATATTAAAGGAGAATGGAGTGGAGATGATTTAGTATCACAAACCTGAAGCCTCTGGAGGCTTCTAGAGGACAGGCACATAATACAGTATTAACTAGGGAAGTGGACCAAGTGTAAAACTTCCTCCAAAGCAGCAATACGTTCTACAGACTTTTGTGACTTATGTTTATTTTACCTTAAGAGGAGAGATTTCTTATTTTCTACCTAAAGCGTCTGTATTCAGGTGTGCCACGGCTGCTTTAAATTTGTTGACCAAGTCCATAATGAAACACAAAGGAACCATTTCCCCCAAAGGTCAAAGCAAGTGTCCGCCTTTTAGGGTGACTTTCACCTTTAGATCCCCTCCTTAGATCTCACAGCATTGGCCTCACCAGAACCCAGATCCACACATACCACATTTTTTTTTTAAGAGGTGGAAATTTGGATTTTATGCTTAAGCCTTTCAAATTATACAAGCCTAGGGCCAGGCATGGTGGCTCATGCCTGTAATCCCAGCACTTTGGAAGGCTGGGGGGCGGGTGGATCACTTGAGCCCAGGAGTTCGAGGCCAGTCTGGGCAACATGGTGAAACCCTGTCTTTACTAAAAACACAAAAATTAGCCAGGTGTGATGGCACGTGCCTGTAGTCCCAGCTATTTGGGAGGCTGAGGCAAGAGAATTGCTTGAGCCCGGAATGTGGAGGCTGCAGTGAGCTGAGATTGCGCCACTGCACTCCAGGCTGGGCAACAGTGCGAGACTGTCTCCAAATAAATAAATAAAATTGCACAAGCCAGATTGAGCCCCTGGGCCAGCAGTTTGCAGCCTCTGGTTTAACTGTGCTCTAGTAGAAGGAATCGGCTTACTCCGTGGTCTTGATGGTTCCATGAGAACTATGTGGAGAGGCATACATTGCTATGTAAACAGGAGGGCAAACTGGGGGCTTATATTTGCGCCTTAGAGCAGATGATTTGATCACCATCCAAGCCCTGTTGTTTTATATTGAGCTGAATAAACATGGTTTTGGAACCAATGAGGTGGAACTGCCTGTCTTTCTTTCCTATTGTATGATGCATGTGAATAAGCCATTGTCAGGAAAATAAGACTCTTTTTCGTAGATACATAAAGTGGACTTTGCTCCGTGGGTGTGTACTACAGTTGTAAAGTCAGCAAGTGTGTTTTTTGGCACCTAAAATCTCAGCATTCTGGGCCTTTTCCTTCCACCTTATCTGACTTCAACCCCACATCACGTGCTAGGGTGCTCTGTGCTCTCATCACATCATCAAAAGCAGTTACCAGGACAGGCACTGGTCTACATGGAATTTTGAGGAGAGTCTGATAACCCCACCCTCCTGTGCCCATATAGATGCTTAGCCTAAAAGGTTACTGGAAATCTGCAGAGTAAATGTCTCTGGAATTCTATCAGCCATGAGATGGGAAAGGTGCAGAGTCTTTCCAAAACGCCACCTCCCCTGACCTAAATAATAGGAGCGCTAGAGAAAGTTGATGATACTGGATTTCTGAGTGTGCTGTGAATTTTTTTAAAGCAACTTATTTGCTGTTGTTATTTCCCTCCTTTGTGTATCTGGTTTGAATATGTTTTTCACATGCTTTGGGCTCAGATGAGTTTTTAACTCTATTCAATGATTAAAATGTATGGGGCACTACAAGTTGCCCAGCAGTGTGCGGAGCTGGTAAAGCCATTTCTACCTCAGCCGGTCAAAGCAGACAATGGTTGCATGTGCTAAATTTTAGAATATTATTTCTTTTCAAGATGGAGTCTTGCTCTTGTTGCCCAGGATGGAGTGCAATGGTGAGATTTCGGCTCACTGCAACCTTCACTTTCTGGGTTCAAGCAATTCTCTTGCCACAGCCTCCCGAGTAGCTGGCATTACAGGCGCCCACCACCACGCCCAGCTAATTTTTCTATTGTTAGTAGAAACGGGGTTTCCCCATGTTGGTCAGGCTGGTCTCGAACTCCTGACCTCAGGTGATCCACCTGCCTTGCCTCCCAAAGTGTTGGGATTACAGGCGTGAGCCACCATGCCTGGCCTAGAATATTCTATCAAAAATGAATTTTTGATCTTCTGTTAAAGAGCTTTCAAATATGCTATATACCAGACATTCCAAATTTTATTACTTTACAGTTATATAGGTTGTGCAATCATATTTTGCATTTAAGCTTTTTAATACAGCATAATTTCCACAGTATCTCTGTGGAATAAGCATATATATATATATATATATAATTTTGTTAAACAAAAACATTGGAAAAAAAGGGTAGGCATGATAGCTCATGCCTATAATCCCTGCAGTTTGGGAGGCCAAGGCTGGAGGATCACTTGAGGCCAAGAACTCAAGACCAGCCTGGGTGAGACCATATCTCTTTAAAAAAACACCAACAAGGCTGGGCATGGTGGCTTATGCCTGTAATCCCAGAACTTTGGGAGGCTGAGGCGGGAGGGTCACCTGGGATCAGGAGTTCAAGACCAGCCTGGCTAACATGGTGAAACCCCGTCTCTACTAGTAGTACAAAAATTAGCCGGGCATGGTGGCGCACACCTGTAATCCCAGCTACTCAGGAGGCTGAGGTAGGAGAATTGCTTGAACCCGAGGAGACAGAGGTTTCAGTGAGACCCTGTCTCAAAAAAAAAAAAAAAAAAAAAAAAAAAGAATTGAGTGCAGTTATCACAATCCATCCGGATAGAGAAAGTTATCAGCATTAGAGGATCTCAGAGTTCTTGAAGTAGTAACATTTGCTCTTTCAAACAGATATTTTTTTATTGTTTTTACATCAAATGAAACTTGAGACAAATGTTATCAAGTGTTCATGTTCAACAGCTGTATTTATAGCTCATTATAAGCCTGCTCATTAAAATTTTTATTTAAGGACTGAATTTATGTTTATCATTTGCACAGGGCATGGTTCTTCTGTCATTTGTTTCTCTAAACTGAACTTGGAGCGAACCCATCCATTTTCCACCTCAAAGTGGAAGAGGAAGGTAAGGCAGATCTGAGGGCTCCTCAATGTGAGGTTGGAAACTCTTCTCTCTAAAATACACTGAAAGCTGAAGGCTGTTTCTTCAGTGTGAGGAAAGTCAGGTAATCCACATTTTCATTATAATGGGGTAGAGCTTTTTGCTTATATTTGGAAAGAGTTGCTTTGGAAAGTGTCTGTAATTATCAACTTATAGCAGTATATTTTTGTTCCCTGTAAACTTTCTATGAAAGAAAATTAACATGAAGTTATATGAAAAAAACCAGGCCGGGCGCGGTGGCTCAAGCCTGTAATCCCAGCACTTTGGGAGGCCGAGACGGGCGGATCACAAGGTCAGGAGATCGAGACCATCCTGGCCAACCCGGTGAAACCCCGTCTCTACTAAAAAATACAAAAAACTAGCCGGGCGAGGTGGCGGGCGCCTGTAGTCCCAGCTACTCCGGAGGCTGAGGCAGGAGAATGGCATGAACCCAGGAGGCGGAGCTTGCAGTGAGCTGAGATCCGGCCACTGCACTCCAGCCTGGGTGACAGAGCGAGACTCCGTCTCAAAAAAAAAAAAAAAAAAAAGAAAAAAAAAAGAAAAAAAACCTCAATTTGTGCCAAAAACTTCTATAGTAATTTTTTTTTTTTTTTGAGACAGAGTCTGTGTTGCCCAGGCCAGAGCACAATGACATGATCTCAGCTCACTTCAACCTCTGCCTCCCTAGTTCAAGTGATTCTCGTGCCTCAGCCACCTGAGTAGCTGGGATTACAGGCATGCACCACCATCCATTTTTAGTGGAGACAGGGTTTCACCATGTTGGCCAGGCTGGTCTCAAACTCCTGGCCTCAAGTGATCCACCCACCTCGGCCTCCCAAAGTGCTAGGATTACAGGTGTGAGCCACTGCGCCTGGCTATATTAATTCTTTGATTCAATAATAAAACAGTTAAAAGAATGTCTTCTGCTACTTACTGCGAATTTTTTAAAAAGGTAATTTAGCAACTGATCTAATTTAGCTGTCTCTCAAGAAAACAAAAACAATCCTAGACACCAAATTCACTGTTTCAAAAGTAATCCAAAGATGCTGAAAATGGTCTATCATGGGCCACTGAGACATAGTTAGATCATTGTGACCCTGAGCCAATTTCTCCATGGTTCACAAGGCAAGGAAAAGTATTATAGCTAAATGTAGTTTGGAAACATCTTGATGTTCTAAAACACATTAACTCACGCTATAAATTACTTTGTACTTTACAAACTTTATTAAATAATGGGCGTTACTAACTTTCATTATCTTATATACAGTATTTAAACTATGTTTTCCTAGATGCATTTTTTTTTCCCCACAAAGAATAGAGCAAGTGAAAAGTAAACTTATATAAAAAAAAATTGAACCTGCAGTACAGAAAACTAGTAAGAACTTGACATACTTTAAAGTACATATAACTTTTCCCTGTTATATACATCCCCACCCCACCTCTAAAACAAACTATTTTAAACAAAAACAATTGATAACTTTCAGGAAAAAAATACAAACATGATTATATATATACACACAGCTCTCAAAACCTGTGTCCTGGTCAACAGAAATGATCTATAAATCTACATTTGTCCTAAAACCTAAAGCCATGTAGACATTTTATACAGTAAGATACCCACTTATGTGCAGTGAGGTGTATTCCTATGGGTGACATCAAAGTCATGCAACAAGACACTGGCGTGAAGAAGTAATTTCTGAGTCAGACAGAGCAGTAATATGAACTATATAGAATCGGATAATACTAACCAAAAAGCGAAAATGCGAAACAGCTTTCCTGGGACAAGAGTCAGGTGATTTTGCTCATAGGTACTACAAATGCACTTACACACACCTCTAAGAACATACTTTCTTGGCCGGGTGCAGTGGCTCATGCCTGTAATCCCAGCAATTTGGGAGGCCGAGGCGGATGGATCATGAGGTCACGAGTTTGAGACCAGCCTGGCCAACATGATGAAACCCCGTCTCTACTAACAACACAAAAATTAGCCAGGTGTGGTGGTGGGCACCTGTAATCCCAGCTACTCAAGAGGCTGAGGCAGGAGAATCACTGGAACCGGGGAGGTGGAGGTTGCAGTGAGCCAAGATTGCACTCCAGCTTGGGCAAAGAGTGAGACTTGGTCTCAAGAAACAAACAAAACAAACAAACAAAAAAACTTTCTTGTGGTACTTATTTTTGATTGTTTCATCTTGAAAACTCATATCATGTTCAAATAAAGACAATAAAGAAGGAATGTTTCCAGACCATGCCATTCAATGTGGACTTTCCTTTATAAGCTATAAGAAGAATACTTTGGAGAAGCAAGAAACTTGGGTTATTTTTTGTTATTTAAAAAGAAAATCAAATGCCTTAGGTACCTATTTGTAAGATAAAAATGCTCATATTTTATGTTTTACAGTTAAGAAAAAGAGGCATAGGACTTACAAAGAGAAAGAATTATGTCACTTACTCAATATTACTGCTTACCTTTAAATGAAGAGCCCAGGCCTCTTTCCCTACATATATTATTGTATCTTTTAAAATAGAAACTAAGAGCATGGTAGAGAGGCTGTAGAATGTACACCTGATTAAAATGAGAATACAAAGGCCACTGCTTGAGAAAGCATTCTTGCTGCATTAACTGCAATCTTCAATAAAATCGAATATGTTTATAAAGTCACAATTTATCTGCCTTCATTTTTCTTTTTAGCTTCTTTGATTTTGCTTTTTATTCAAAATGTCTTATTTTTGTTTTTTTTGTTGCCTAAGGAGTTAGATTAGTACACAGTGTCACAATGAAATGTCACAAATGGTCAGAACATAAAAGGTGTTAGTCAGCACCTAGTAACCAAAGATTTCATTCTTTTATATACCTGAAAACAATGAAAAAAGGCTCCCATGTTATGTGTGGTTTAGGAAATAGATTCTTGCCCCATTCCTGCAGCCAATGACTCCTCAGGGCCAGGATCAAGGAGGTCATTTGGCAGAATCCCAAACTCAGGAGGATGCATATGCAAAGCTGCTCTGGAAAGGGTAAGTTTAAAGTGCTTTGTCTGATTTTAGCTCATACTTAACTTTGTATTGATTAGAAACAGGCACACAACATGGTCTGGTGGGATTTCAGTTTTGTTTTTTCTCTTTCAACTGTCTGTCATTTGAAGAGGTAATCAAATGGTTCCCAGAAGGTCATCCCATCTTTTTTTTTTTTTTTTTTTTTGAGACGGAGTCTCGTTGTGTCACCAGACTGGAATGTAATGGCATCATCTCAGCTCATTGCAACCTCCACCTCTTGGGTTCAAGGGATTCTCCTGCCTCAGCCTCCCGAGTAGCTGGGACTACAGGCAGGTGCCACCATGCTCGACTGTTTTTTGTTTTGTTTTGTTTTGTATTTTTAGTAGAGACGGGGTTTCACCATGTTGGCCAGGATGGTCTTGATCTCTTGACCTCGTGATCCACCCCCCTCACCCTCCCAAAGTGCTGGGATTACAGGCATGAGCCACTGTGCCCAGATCATCTTTTCTAATAGTTAAGTCAGTCTGCATCTTATTGACCTTGGTTTTCTCTAAGTCATTAAGGAAATCATTCATTTCACCCCAGAAATTATGTATAAACATGATGAGCAGCTCATTCTCTAGGCCTTGTCCAGGAATAGTGGTAAGGGGTTTTGCGTACAGAAAATGGGTCCTGCTACATTTTGATTTTCAACAGTCACACAATTTCTGCATCAAAATGAAATAAAAGAATACCACCACAAAAACTCTAAAATGGGCACCTCAGACTACACACCAATTACAGATCTCTGGCTTACGTTATCCTAAGGTCTTGCCACAAATATAACCAAAATGTGAGATATAAGCATAATTCTTTCAACAGCTTTCGTTGCCTTTTAAAACGTGACAAAGTCTCCTTGCTGCCTTTAAGTCACAGGATAAAACTACCTGGGCCTTCTGGATAATAGGAAAGGATTATTGCATTCTTAAGGTGTGGGCACTATTGTCAGGTTATGGCCATCGTGTTAAAAGTCTAAAAAATTTCAAGTAAGATTGACTTACATGAAACATGAAGACACTCAGCATGAGAAAATATACTGTTGATGCCAACATGTGCTACAGTACAATCCTGGCTGCATCGTCAGCCATTTCAAAAAGTTGTGCTGTAAAAGAAAGTATATTTTACACCTCTGGTTCTTACAAAATTGTTTTAATCTGGTACACATAAAACACCTCATCAGTATCTATAATGTTTTATGAGCAAAATAAGAAGTTGATTCAGGCAGTTATTATGAAGAACCTTAAGCAAAGCTGCTTGAACTGAGACACTGAAATTTTTCCCTTAGAGACTGGACAATATTTTGTTGATTGGGAGATGGCCCCCTCCAAAGATAGTCATTCAGTTTGTCAGAATCATTATATGGTGTCAGATATGGTGAAAGCTCAGGTTTGCTGTTAACTGGCTTTTTTGGAGTGCGCGGACTATTCAAGGAATGCGATGTATTGCCGCTGCAGACATTATCAGAAAAGTCAGCATCCACAAACTTTGAGTCAGATTTCCTTCTACGATTGTGAGATGGCTCCAACTCTGACTCATCTTCTTCTGACTTGATTTCCACATAGTCATCTTCATCTCCATCAGTCTCTTTGAAATTGGAAAAATAGTTCTGTGTTGCAATTTGGGCATTTAAGGGTAAATTTCTATTGACCACCACAACTTTCTGTGAGTCTTGGAGTGTGAGATCTGAGTTTTTTTCAGTGTCCTGTGGATGCGAGTCAGCAATATCTGGCAGTAAGTCCTGGTGACTCTCACACCTTGAACTTCTGTGTAAAGACAGCAGCTGCTGCTTTCCCATGTCACTAGGGTAGTTGATGGAGTCCATTGATTTGTTTATCAAGACGGAGGAAGATGACTGGGACCTGTGATAAGGCTGAGATTTTGCACTGATCCCTTTCCGACCTAAGGAGTTGTAAAGATGGTCCTGACACCAGTTCTCTTTGCTGGGCTGACTTACTACCACGCTGCATCTCTGCACAGAGCCCAGCAGAGGGTCGGAGGTTTGAAGAGAAGGTACAGAGCAAGCTGCGGACAATTGCCTGGGAGTACTTTTTGTGTTGATCTCAAACGTGGGATATCTTGACCTCAAGTCTTGCTCTGGTGGGAGACAGAAATCTGCTAACTCTCCATTACTATAGGTTGAATGCAGAAGCCAATCTTCACTACCATGGTGGACCTGGGAAGGTGACGCAGACCTCAGGAGGGAGGATTCTTGAGGGCTGGCCCAGGCATCCTTCTGAATTTTCAAGGGAGACTCTCTGAATACAATCTGGTCATACAACTGGGAATACTCAGCAATCCTGGCACCTGGAAGGCAAATATTGAAACAGTAAATACACACAGGATGATTCCTATATGTGAAGATTAAAAATAAGAGAATAATATTCTAACCAACATATTTTAAAATTTTGACAGTGGACAAGACTAAGTGATGTTTAAGGATGAGTAATCATTGAACTCTAAGCAACACACACACACACACAAATCCATGGTTTAATATAAATAAAAATGCCACCTAAAAGTTCATTTAATTTCATCTAATTCTCCATTATTCTGTTTCAACAGTAGGTCTGCAAGCGTCCACTATATAGAATGAAAGTTTCTAGTGTTCTTTATAAGCATAAAACAGTGTCAGTGCTGAAAACATGCATCATAAAAATAAGAAAGTCAGCACTTCAGCCTGGTCAATGAAAAATCATTCAAGCAGTGTTTAAAAGCAGCATCGCAGGGCTGGGTGTGGTGGCTCACGCCTATAATTCTAGCACTTTGGGAGGCCAAACCAGGTGGATCACTTGAGGTCAGGAGTTCAAGACCAGCCTCGCCAACATGGTGACACCCCATCTCTACTAAAAATACAAAAATTTAGCCAGGCGTGGTGGTGTACACCTGTAGTCCCAGCTACTTGGAAGGCTGAGGCAAGAGAATCGCTTGAACCTGGGCGGCAGAGGTTGCAGTGAGCCGGTATCATGCCACTGCACTCCTGCCTGGGTAACAGAGCGAGACTCCATCTCAAAAAAAAAAAAAAAAAAAAAAAGCAGCATGACCACAATCCACAGTGCAATGGCTACCCCTGGCTTCCAATCATTCTTCTTTGCTCTCAGACAACTGCTCCTAGAGGAGTTGGCTCCTGGCTGTTCCTGTACTTCTTGCTTCCAGACAGCCCTTCACCGCCATTGTCTGGGGAACCAATGTCTACTAAGGAAAGTTCTCCCCTCAAGTGCTTCAAAACCACATGTATTGACTAACTCGCATCTCATTTCACATCCCCAAGAAGCAGAGCACTAAAGCCTAGGCCGCCAAGACATTAAGAAGGAACTGTCTGTGCATGTACTCAATAATCTAATGCCCTCTACTATTGGTTCAAGAATAGGACCTAACAGTTACTTCCACAAAAGCTTTTGCCACATAAAATTAAGCCACAAGTCCATTCTCCCCTTTGCCCTGATTCTGAGTACAGATATTTCTAAATATTAATACACTAACCATGCTATGGGTAGGAGATTCTTTTCGGCTAGCAATAATTTAAGATGGGAGCCCAGAGATGTCAATTTCAAGATCTGCCACCTTGCCCAATCCAGGTACCTGCACAACCAGCCTAGAGTCAAAAAACTCTAATGCAGGGGTGTCCAATCTTTTGGCTTCCCCAGGAGACACTGGAGGAAGAAGAACTGTCTTGGGGCACACATAAAATACACTAACAGTAGTGATAGCTGATGAGCTTTTTAAAAATCACAAAAACAAAACAAAACAAAAAAACCCTTAATGTTTTAAGAAAGTTTACAAATTTGTGTTGGGCCACATTCAAAGCTGTCCTGGGCTGCATGCAGCCTGTGGGCCATGGGTTGGACAAGCTTCCTCTAATGCATCCTGTGTCTTGCTCAGACCACATTGACACAATCTCTGTGGAGGAAATGTATCCTACATATGACAACCAGCAGTTAATACTGTTTTCTTCTTCTTCTTTAAGCTATTTACATATTTAATGATGTGTTATCAGTAAACTATTTCTTGAACTTAAACTATTAATAAATATTCATTTAGGTGAGTTTTGCCATTTCTTCTGAGTCTATCTTCTATGAGGAGAGAAAACAACCTGTTATTGTTTGACCTTTAATTGTAATCCCAATCCCTCGCCCCCTATTCCCTGCGATCAAGGTAAATAGTCTAACTTCTCATTACACACCTATACTCAGATCCTTTGAGTTTTCAACTCCAAATTCCTTGGAAGAACAGAGATTATTAGTGTTGAAATTTCTGGTTACAAAAATTTGAGAAATGATTCCTTAAAAGGCGCAGTAAAGACTCTTAATACTAACTAGGGTTTAGCAACATCTTAAGAGAAAGAGTGCAAAAGTCTCCACAGACACCAGTGTGCCCATGGTAGCCATCCTGAAACCTATAATATTTCATTAACTATGAAACCCAATCAAAAACAGCTGGGCCTTTAATATAGTCATTAGTTAGCAGACCTGCCTGAAAGGTAGATGGTCTGCTCAAGTCATTCTCACATATGGCATAGCCCTGAGCCTGATCCCACAGCTGTATCAGGAAGGCTTTGAACTTCTACAAGTTTCCAAGAAGACGACAATTTTGGAAAATGTAGCAAAACTTTAAAAATTCAAACAAACTCTTCCAGTATCAAAATTTAACCATCAAGTTTTGTAAGAACAATCAGATCTTGACTTTAGCCCAGATAATCTGAAATCACATACCATCTAAAATATCCACAGTATTTCCCAGGCCTGTGTCTTCCTTATTATATGCTCCTTGACCTTTGCTTAATCAAGTCCTACCCATCTCTCAAGATTTTCCATAAGCCCTATCCTTCTCCTTACTTGAATCATTTTCTGATTTCTCTTCTCTGAAGTCTTATACAGTGTGTACCTAGCTGTTGCCTATGTGTGCATACACACACATGCAGACACACACAATTTGTATTGCTGTGTTGCTAATTTGCTAATTATTTTATGTAGGTTACTTTATGTAGGTTATTTTCATTTTAGGTTTTTTTTTTTTTTTGGGGGGGGGGGATGAAGTCTCACTCTATTGCCCAGGCTGGAGTGCAGTGGCACGATCTCAGCTCACTGCAACCTCCGTCTCCCCGGTTCAAGTGATTCTCCTGCCTCAGCCTCCCTAGTAGCTGGGACTATAGGCGTGCACCACCATGCCCGGCTAATTTTTGTATTTATAGTAGAGACAGGGTTTCACCATGTTAGCCAGGCTGGTCTGGAACTCCTGGCCTCAAGTGATCCATCGGCCTTGGCCTCCCAAAGTGCTGGGATTACAGGTGTGAGTCACTGCGCCTGGCCATTTTATGTAAGTTACTTTATTAGTCCTTGAGCTTTTCTTTTCTTTTCTTTTTTTGAGACATTCTGTCAGCCAGGCTGGAGTGGAGTGGTATTATCATAACTCACTGCAGCCTCAAACTCCTGGGCTCAAATAATCCTCTTGCCTCAGCCTCCTGAGTACCTGGGACTATAGGCACGAGCCACTGTGCCTGGAAACTTTTAATTTTTAAATTTTTTGTAGAGATGGAGTCTTGCTATGTTACCCAGGCTGGTCACAAACTCCTGAGCTCAAGCGATCCTCCTGCTTTGGCCTCCCAAAGTGCTAGGATTACACGTGTGAGCCACCTCGCCTGGCCTCTGAGCTTTTGGTCTGGGAGAATAATGCTGTACATTTCGTTTAACTCCCTATATATCACCTAGCCTGGTTCTAGACAGAAACTGGTCTCAATAACTAATTCATTACTCAGATATTTTTTTCACTCCCTCCTTTATTTTACTTATTGTTCTGACTTCTACTATCTCTTATTTTACTTATTGTTCTGATTTACTTATTGTTCTGATTTCTTTTGAGACAGAGTCTTGCTCTGTTGCCCAGGCTGGAATGCAGTGGCGCAATCTCAGCTCTCTGCAACTTCCACTTCCTGGGTTCAAGCGATTCTGCTGCTTCAGCCTCCAGAGTAGCTGGGATTACAGGCGCCCAGCACCACACCGGGCTAATTCTTTATATTTTTAGTAGAGACAAGGTTTTACCATGTTGACCAGGCTGGTCTTGAACTCCTGACCTCGAGTGATCTGCCCACCTCAGCCTCCCAAAGTGCTGGGATTATAGGTGTGAGCCACTGCGCCCAGCCTCCTCCTCTTATTTTAAGCCTAGTTTTAAAAATGGATGCACTTTCCTGAGACCATACCATTGGGAGTGGAAAGGTGGCCTGGAAATCAGGTCATAGCAGAAAAAGGGGAAGCAAGAAGACAGCTAAAATGCTTCCTATAGATAACTCATAATGGGAACAGTTTATCTTTGGATGATAGAGTTGACCATTTATCAATTTTGAATAAAAGGTATCTCACTAGTAGGCAATACAGGTGTGAGTCACTGCACCTGCTGATCTAAGGGGGTTTTTTTGTTTGTTTCAACTTCACCTTCTAAGAGAGTTTACAGCTTGTGTGACATCTATGTGAACAAGAAACAAGCTTCCAGAGCTCCAGCTGTAATTAAACAGATTCTATTAGCCAGATGTATAGGGGAACAGTGAGTCTGAGATGACACCTCTGGCCTAAAAAGCTTCATATTAGCTGATTTAAGGCTCCCCCATATCCTTAGTTCTAGTATTAACAGCTTGTATAGAACATATACGTTATGATTATATGATAATCGCAAGAATGTCTCTGGTTTATTGCCTTTTTTGAGATTTGAAAGTTGGAGTTCTTATGATCTCAGACAAAAATTTAGAATAATCTTTGCCAAGGGAAATATCAAACAACATTTTAATCCTCCAGACAGGATTAAAATCAATGTTTCTGATGTTGCTCGAGATGCAGACAGAAGCGTAAAATTGTGCCTTCCCTACTCTACACAAGGAGGAAAATTTCTCAAGCCTGTATGGAGTTTTCTCCCATGTGAAATGTCACCAAAAACCCAGAAACCCAAAGGCCTCCTTGCTGTCAAAGACTATCAGGAGGGAGGTCTGGTGGAACAAGATGACCAGCATGCTATGACAGGCTCTAAGATGTGGGAGCAACTGGACCTGGTTGGGTGATTTATAGGCAGAAATCTGACCCGGGGCCTGGAGACCCCGGCTAGAGAGTTCAATAAAGATGCTCGAGAGTTTCAGCAGGTGAATAAGGTGCTCCTCCTTCCGCACAGCACCGAGAGCAAGCTCCTGGCAAAGCGGCAAGGCCCACACGGAGAAGTCTGGAGAATCGGTCCATTCGATTACGACGTCCTGTGCCCAGATAAACAAGAAAGAGAAAAGGAGTCATCATGTCAACTGATGGAAAGCCTAGTGGGCACAGGAAGTGGTCTCGATCACCCAGCTGGAAGAGGTGTGGATATAACTCGTCAGGTCCTAGGGACGTGCCCCTGCCAGATGGCGGGGAAGACAGCACTCTCAGAAGATGACTTTGGAGAGATTTCCTCCTCTTTGCTGGGGAGAATGTCGACAGAAGCCCACCATGTCAAGAAAGGACCCAGACGCAAAGCTGAGAAAAGATCCTGAGGCATCCCAAGACACACCAGCAGGCAAAACAAAAAGGAGAGCCAACCGGAAGTGAAAAGAAAACCCCAATGTGAAATCATTTAATACTTAAAAGGTGGGTAAAAAAGAAGACTATTTAAGGTAGTCATAGGCCTTAATGATTTGGTATCAAAGGACATGCTTCTATCAAGATTGGAGCTTTGTATTTTAACAGGTGGTCCATATTCAAAACGACCTGCCCCAGAGAATTACTACTTTTTCAATGACAGTCTGTGGGCATAACCCATCATCATAAAAAACTCTAGCATTATATTTTCTCTTATTCTGAGGAGCCCCAACCCAGACTTAGTCAGTGCTTGCAATTGCCAATATACAACTGTTTCTAAGGCCATATATATTCCCCTACCCCACCAAAATTGTCCTTCTGCAGCTGGAACTCAGTCACTTTCCCTGTAACAGCAAACCAGCTTAGCAAACGCTAGCATCAGAATAGGGACTTGAATTACTCATAGTGCATCACGGCAAGGAGAAAAATACATGCATTCTGGTCTCACATGCATACAAAACCTTCATTTGATTAAAAAGAACTCAGAGTCTGTGAAATCCTTCAGGCATCAATTCCAGGACTTCGTTTTCCTATCTGTTAAGAAACTGTACTGAAGATTTAAACTTTAGACAATTCTTACTCTCAAAATTAAAAAAAAAAAGTTCCCTACAGATTCTTGTTATGTAACTTGTGGATTCATTTAAGATTTGGATATCTCTTTCCTATACTTCCGTTTCCATGGATGTCAATAAGTCAGTCCCAAAGACAGCATTTAATAGTCAGTGGCATCAACCTGCCCCAACGTGCTGATAATGAAGCTGATGATCAACGCTTGTCCTGATACTAAGCCATCACCCAGCTTTCACTTCTAATTACAGAATAGACTCCTCTCATTTGATACCAAGGTGGTCCTTTGTGAGAAAATCTGGGGCAGGATTTCTTAAAATACGATGAAAAGGGCATACTATTTGAAATGCATATTCCTGAGCCTGTAGTCAGAAATCTCTCTGCATCTGGAGGTAAAAGCTCCTCAGGTGAGAGCCACTACTCTTGGACTTTTCTTTCCATGACAATCAGGGGCTTTATTCACACACAGGCTCTTCCCCAGAGATCAGTGTTAAATTTTGGCCTTCAAAAAAGCCTAACCATGAGCATCTCATTCCCATAGTCCTCATCCTACAATATCACACCGAAGATTCTGGTTTAGTTGTGCTCCACAAAGGAGTCTAACTAAAGCATTAAACTCAGAAGCATATATGAAAATACTAAATGAGGTAGTGTTGAATGCATTACAGCAGCTATTTTAAAAAACTGAGTAGTAGGCCAGGTGTGGTGGCTCACGCCTGTACTCCTAGCACTTTGGGAGGCCAAGGCGGGAGGGTCACTTGAGCCCAGGAGTTTGAGAGCAGCCTGGGCAATATGATAAAATCCCATCTCTACAAAAAAACTACAAAAAAAATTAGCAGGGCATGGTGGTGCACACCTGCAGTCCCAGCTACTAGAGAGGCTGAGGTGGGAGGATCACCTGAGCCCAGGAGGCAGAGGCTGCAGTAAGCCATGTTCATGCTACTGCACTCCCGCCTGGGTGACAGAGCCAGACCCTATCTCAAAAAAAAGAAAAAAAAATTGAGTAGTAATGGAAATATGTGAGGAAACAACTGATTTATAGTGTGAGCAACTAAGGAAAGTATAATGGCTGGCATGGTGGCTCACGCCTGTAATCCCAGCACTTCGGGAGGCTGAGGCAAGAGGACTGTTTGAACCCAGGAGTTGAGATCAGCCTGGGCAACATGGTGAAACCCTTTCTCTACAAAAAATTTAAAAAGTAGCTGGGCGTGGTGGTTAGTGCCTCTGGTCCCCGTTCCTCAGGAGGCTGAGGTGGGAGGATTGCTTGAGTCTGGGGAGGCTGAGGCTGCAGTGAGCTGTGATTATGTCATTGTACTCCAGTCTGGGTGACAGTGAGATCCTGTCTCAAAAAAGAAAAAAAAAAAAAAGTATGCAAAAAAAAAAAAAAAACCAAACCCCTCTTTTTGTTAGCATGAGTTGGCATTTTTGTTGAGATCCTGAAGCAAGAAACAATGTTATTCTATATGCTTCCAAACCTTAGAAGATTACACACACCCCTCCTCCTCCTAAGAAATTACTGATGTACTGGAAAAATTGGAGATATCACAGTTAAGTTAAAACTGATTGCTTGTTTCATACTTTAGATTACCTCAGAGAAAACTCTTCCTTAAAACATTATCTCTGTAGTTACGATGTTACATGCACACCACCACCTGCCGAGGCCAAATCCTGCTACAGTGTGCGTAATTCATAGGGGGTGATGTGGGAAAGGCCAGGATGGCTTTGTTTGTGGTCTTACTTTGAGATGACAAGGCGTGTCAGTGTTCTCACAGGTATGTCCTTTTAAAGGACATCTGAAATCTGAAAACCGCTCTCCCCTCTTACTTTGGAGAAGGAAGAAGGGCAGGGTGCACATACCAATGGCGGGCCCTCCTTGCTTCTTCTCTTCCAAGATGGCAGCCAGGTCTTTGTGCATGGATTTCTGATGCTGACTGGCCGGCGGCTGCTCCAACTCCGGACTTTTCACTTTTAAAAGTTGATTTGCCTTCTTAATCTTCTGACTGTACTGCCGAGCCATCATAAACACCCTGCTTTTTGTCTTATCTGTGGCCTCCATCCCCAGGTCAGGGTTTTCTGGGTCTGTTTGAGACAGGCCACTGTTGGCCAGGTCATAGGGATTGTCCATGAGGGGCAATTCACTGGCCAGAGAAAGCCGGTTAAGGCTCATAAAAGAGCCTTCTTTAGAAATCAGGTCTTCCTCAAAGGGGCAGTTGGCATGGCTGGCTCTGCCGGCCCTGCTCTTCACAGGCGTGAGGAGAGCCTGGCTCTCGGGCAGGGATAGTGTGGACACAGAGCGCCCTGCCTCCCGGCTCAGCTCAGGGGTGCTCTCTGCGTACAGCCTGTCTGGCACATCATCCTTGCTCACAGGAAATGCTGCCAGGAGACGGTCTCTGGCCTTGTCTTCGTTTTTCTTGATGTAATTTTCCAGGTCATTCCAGATTTCATCTACTTCTTCGGACAGTTTATCAGATACAGGCTTATCAGGCATAGACAGGTTACAGCTGGGAGAGTCGTACAGCAAACTCAGATAATCATGATCAGGGATGTCCTGATGGTAAGGGGCTTCGTCCTCACTGAACTGGAGGCTGTCTTGAGAAACAAACGGCCTCAGGCTGTCACAGCACACGAAGTCAGCCTCCAGTCCCAAAAAGGTGCTCCGCTTTGCACGCTTTAGGCTGCTGCACTTAAAACCCAGCGACGGAGGATCTGGGAGCCCTATGGTGTCATAGATGTTCTCCTCAACCGCTTGGAGTTCATGCGTGCTTTGGCTGGATGCTTCTCCACCTGAGAGAGCGCCATCTTTTTGTGTGTAAAGAGAGCCCTTACTGTGGCCAGCTTGCCTCTTTGTGAAGGCTAACTCTGGGGTGCTCTTGGGGCGAACAGAGTCCCTGGCTGATTTAGAGGGCGTGGATTCAGCTTCTTCCCGCTTAGCAACCATTAGTTTTAGGTCCTCATAACTGATGTTATCATAGACATGGTCAATGTCATCAATGGTCAACTCGATGGATGACCCAAAGGGAGCCATTTCCTCCTGCCCTCCTGTTTTGGGGCCGTTCTGCAGTTCCCTAGTTCTGTCACTAGGTCCTATTTCAGGAGGGCACGTGTTGCTCTCCCCAGCACTGCTGGCCCGCCTGACAATCCTGTGACCAGAGCTGGAGGTCTCTGTGGACTCCATCTGTCCCATGTGCCAGCTGCAAGGGCGACTAGAAGTGCTGTCTTCACATAGTCGGGTAGAGTTCAGATCTGAGGAGGAAAAGGACGGCACGAACATCTGATAATCATCTTCGTCATCCTCGTTCTCCTGCGGGGACCGCCGGCTGGGAAACAAGGCTTGCCTGATCTGGTGATCGGTCCAGATGTTTCTGAGGGCTCCACCCGTTCGAAGCACGCTGATCATGGCGGAACTGCTGGGCTGACTGTTTCTCTGGGCAGGAGATGGCCTTGCTGAAGTCAGCTGGGGAGATCCTTCCTCTCTAGAAACCTGAGGAAGATGGAAACATATCAACTAAATCACAGCACCATGGAGAAGACACATAACTCAGGAATTTCTCCTGTGTTTACATGCTGCCTCCCCCACTAGGCTTTAACATTCTTTTATTTTTTTTTTTTCTGAGATGGGGTCTTGCTGTGTTACCCAGGCTGATCTCAAACTCCTGGACTCAAGCAATCCTCCCACCTCAGCCTCCGAAGTAGCTGGCACTACAGGTGTGAGCCACTGCACCTGGCTGAGTGTTTAACTGACTTGAAAAGCACTTCAGATATTTTCAAAAAAGGAAGGACAGGAACTAATATATACTTAGGAACTAGGCTGGGCAATGTGCAGACATTCTCCAAACTTAATATTCACAATCATTTTATGAATTAGATATGATCGTACCAATCTCATAGTAAGGAAATCTAGGTTCCTGAAGCTTCAGTAACTTGCTCTAGTCAGTAGTAAGGCTGGTGCTAGAACCCAGGTCTAACCCCAAACCCCTTGCCCCAAAGCACGATATAAGCTAAATACAGAAAACTCTTAGATTCTTCAAATAAGTCTGGTGTACAGTTGGCAAATATTCATTGCATAAATTAATATATATAGAAGTGAAGGGCTATGCTATCTGGTTTCTATTTGAGCCTTTCTAAGAAGCTTTAGAGCCAGTGCTTGTCTCCCAGGGGTTTTAGCGTGGTTTCTGGTATACCAAAAGCCCCTGCTGCTGACCTGACCGCACACTCCAAGGATTTCTCTTAAATCTGCAGACCCACCAGGAACATGGCCAGCACTACCTTGGTTTATAGGTTCTAGGCAAAGAGTTTTTATTGTAGGAATGTAATTTAATCCTCTGTTGAGTTAACGATATTTTTACTTATTTCAAAATACATTTAATTAGCATTTAGTTGCCTATAAGGAAGAAAAATAGGAACGATATTAATAATTTTTTAATTTTAATTTTTTTTGAACAATTCACTCTGTTGCCAGGTGGAGTGAGCTGGTCACTTGGGATTTGTATGCAACCTGCCTGGTGTCAAGCTCTCGTGCTTCAGCCTCTGGAATAGCTGGGATTATAGATGCCCACCACCATGGTTGGCTAATTTTTGTATTTTTAGTAGAGACAGGGTTTTGCTGTGTTGGCCAGGCTGGTCTTAGACAAAGTCCTGGCCTCAAGAGATCCGCCCACCTTGGCCTCTCAAAGTGCTAGGATTATAGGCATGAGCCACTGCACCCGGCCAAATTAGTGATTTCTAATCAAATAAAACAATGGGTCTTTTATAACGTGGAACCCTTCTGGATGGAGCTCGGTGGTGCAGGCAGGAGCAGATACCCTCTGATCCTATTCTGCAGATAGAAGGATTAACTTCAAAGGCGTGAAAGGGTTAAGACCTAATTAGTGCCAGGGACATATATTCTAATAAAAGACTATAGTAACCTACTGGAAATGTCAAATAAGCAAGAACTTTTCATCACATGTCAATGAAAATGGGATATATGTTAATTGGAATATCTATTAGGGAGGGAAGAGAGTAGAGAGACAATAATAAAATTTCATCCTAAATGTTATTTTTCTATTAAAACTTAAGCAATTCAATTAGTCATTTATTTCTTTTCACACATACACACACACACAATATTTATACCTAATATTTGTTCACATATATGTTTTTCACATTATTTAATATACCTTCCTCTTCACCTTACTCAGACTGCACTGGTGTAATGTTACAAAAATACAGGCAGTCAGTAACTACTTTTTATACAGTAAAACAAGGTTAATATTAACTAGTTAAATTATGACAAAACACTTTTAAAGTGTAACAAAATTATTTCGTGTTTCTCAGCCAAAAGTGATCCATCCCAGAAAATTCCCATAGGTTTTAGAAAATTAGGAGACCTGAATTGTTAATATTGAAGTTATCTTTTTAAGGTAATTACACTTGAAAATAGCAGTTTTGGCCAGGCACAGTGGCTCACACCTATAATCCCAGCACTTTGGGAGGCTGAGGCGGGTGGATCACCTGAGGTCGGGAGTTCAAGACCAGCCTGACCAACATGGAGAAACCCATCTGTACTATAAATACAAATTAGCTGGGCGTGGTGGCACATGACTGTAATCCCAGCTACTTGGAAGGCTGAGGCAGGAGAATTGCTTGAACCTGGGAAGCAGAGGTTGCAGTGAGCTGAGATGGCACCATTGCACTCCAGCCTGGGCAACAAGAGCAAAACTCCGTCTCAAAAAAAAAAAAAAACAAAAAAAAAACCCAGTTTTTTGGAAGCTGTAAATTTACATAGAATTAATCATTAAGAAAATTGAAGATGCTCTTAAATTAAGAAGTAATCATCCAGGCACGGTGGCTTATGCCTGTAATCCCAGCACTTTGGGAGGCCAAGGCAGGCAGATCACTTGAGCCCAGGAGCTAGAGACCAGCCTGGGCAACATGGTGAGATACCCCGTCTCTACAAAAAAAATTTTAAAAAGAAAGAAAGAAAGAGAGAAAGAGGAAAAGAGAGAAAGAGGCAGTGAGTGAGAGAGAGAGAGAAAGAGAGAGAAAGAAAGGAGAGACAGAAATAGGGGGCGGGGAGAGAGAGAGAGAGACAGACAGACAGACAGACAGACAGGCAGGATGGACACAGTGACACACACCTGTAACCCCAGCACTTTGGGAGGTGAAGGTGGTAGGATCACTTGAGTTAAGGAGCTTGAGACCAGCCTGGGCAACATAGTTAGACCTTGTCTCTACAAAAAATGAAAGAATTAGCTGGGCGTGGTGGCACATGCCTGTAGTCCAGTTACTTGAGAGGCTGAGGTAGGAGGATTCCTGAGCCTGGGAGGTGGAGGCTGCAGTGAGCTGAGATTGTGCCACTGCATTCCAGCCTGGGTGACAGAGTAAGACCCTGTCTCAAAATAAATAATTTTTTTTTTTAAAGGAAAGAATCAGCATATGGTTGGTCACAATATTGAAAGTCATGGTAAAAACCGCACTTACTTTTGCACCAGCCTCATAATTTCAATACCTCAATTTTACCACAGCCTGAATGAACTTTTTTCCTATCCTTCCACATTCTCAGCATTTGAGCTATTTAACAATGATATTAGCTATCATGTTTTTATTTTTTGAGATGGAGTCTCACCCTGTCACCCAGGCTAGAGTGCAGTGGCACGATCTCGGCTCACTGCAACCCCTGCCTCCCGGGTTCAAGCAATTCTCCTGCCTCAGCCTCCGGAGTACCTGGGACTACAGGCGCATGCTGTCACGCCTGGCTAATTTTTTGTATTTTAGTAGAGATGGGGTTTCACCGTGTTCGCCAGGCTGATTGTGAACTCCCGAGCTTAGGCAATCCGCCCGCCTCGGCCTCCCAAAGTTCTGGGATTACAGGCGTAAGCCACCGTGCCTGGCCTATATTAGCTATAATTTATAAAACACTTGCTTTGTGCCAAATATTCCATTAATAAGCACTTTTAAGAACATGTTGCATTTAATCTTTATAACAGTTCTGTAAATTAGGAAACCAAGTCCTGGTAAGGTTAAGCAATTTGCCTGCAATCACACGGTTTATAAATGGCAGAAATGGATTTGAATCCGTGTCTTAAACCACAGCTTACACATGAGCTTAACCGCCTCATACACACATGTACGCAGTCTCAGAATATATATTCTGGGAGAAATAGTAAGCTATTATTAAGAAATATTTCCTGTTATAAACTACTTATTTATTTATTTATGAGACAGAATCTCACTCTGTTGCCCAGGCTGGAGTGCAGTGGCACTATCTCAGCTCACTGCAACTTCTGCTTCCCGGCTCAAATGATTCTCCAGCCTTGGCTTCCCAAGTAGCTGCGACCACAGGCACAAGCCACCACACCTAGCTCATTTTTGTATTTCTTTTGTAGAGAGGGGGGTTTTGCCATGTTGCCCAGGCTGATCTTGAATTCCTGAGCTCAAAGTGATCTGCCAATCTTGGCCTCCCAAAGTGCTAGGATTACAGGTGTGAGCCACCTGTATGACATGCCTAGTTGTTATAAACTCTTTCATTACCAGTAAATCTGATCTCCTTGAATTTAATGTACCTTCAGCACATTACTATTAGGAGATGGAATTTTATCACAAAAAGAAAGCATGGGTATTTTCTTTCTTGCCTTCTGATTGTATCAGGTTTGGTTATGCCCATATGGACCTGGCTTGAGCATTGCTGTAGAAAGTTTCTAAGCAGCTCCTGAGATTGAATTTCTAGAACTCTTTGACGGGGAGATTCCTTCTTTTAGCACTGAGAGGGGCACGGCTCCACAATGCTACTATGGCTGCTTTGAAGAGCAGGGAGCCTTCTGCAGTGACCCCACTTATGAAATCAAAACCTTATGCCATATTTCAGGACAATGAACCAATTAATATTAACAAGTTTCACACGTTTCCAAACAAAAACATGTATTACCTGAAAAAAAATGCACACGCCTCAGCCATGACAATCACTTAAAGGTAAGACTATGTTCGGCCGGGCATGGTGGCTCACGCCTATAATCCCAGCACTTTGGGAGGCCGAGACGGGTGGATCACCTGTGGTCAGGAGTTCCAGACTGGCATTGCCAACTTGGTGAAACCCCCAGCTCTACTAAAAATACAAAAATTAGCTGGGCATAGTGGTGGGTTCCTGTAGTCCTAACTACTAGGCTACTCGGGAGGCTGAGGCAAGAGAATTACTTGAACCTGGGAGTCAGAGGTTGCAGTGAGCCGAGATTGCACCAGTGCACTCCAACCTGGGCAACAGAGTGAGACCCAGTCTCAAAAGAAAAAAAAAAAAAAAGACTACGTTGATTTTTAGACATTTTCTTGGTTTTAATGGAAAGATACAACATTTATCAACAGGGTCACTTTGTTTCTGTGCTAAGCCATGGTGGAAATGAGATTGTAGGGATAGGTTTTCATAGCCATATTCTTCTAGATACAGAACATTAAACAAGGAGCCATGATTAGTTCTCTAAGAATTGTTAATTAAGCCCACTGCTCAGTAGCCACACTGGACAAACCACTGAGGTCAGGAGAAATTACCTATTCTTCATAGGTAATACAGTTGGATATAATACCTTTCAATACAGTATACAATTCTTATTCTCCCTCTCCTAAGCTTTTGTCAGGGGAAGAAAAATCAAAACTTGATATGACAGGGTCTCATTCGATCATATGTCATCATCTCTTATGTCAGCAGCAGAACCATATTTTTAGAAGGGGGCCCCTCGCCCTTGTGAATGAAGGCTCGCGCTTGCAGGAGGGGTTATATCCAGGAGGCAGGGGCCTTGGTCTTACACCGGTGGAGGCAAAGGACAAGGTGAGGCGGCTCACGTGAGCACCGGGCAGGTATTACACCCTAAGATAAGGTTACAGCCTCTGAGGTGTGATGCGGGGCAGAGGATGAATAAATAATCACCATGGTTCTCAGATGTGGGCTGGGGGAAGGGAAGAAGTTGATAAGGATGAGTCTTTGCTTAAATCAAATGTAAATAATTCAAAATGTAAAATACCAAATTTCCAAAATGTAATATAACTGTTGACACTTGCAATACGGGCTGGGGCTGAGAGAGATGGGGAAGTGACACCTATGAAGGGCGTCTGAAGCGAACATTTCCAAGTAAGAAATGGGATAGAGCTTACCTTTTGGATGTCTTGTGCTGTTTCTGAAAAATAGAAGGTTTCTTTTTTCAAGTTGGAGAATGAAAATGTACCTCCTATATAAGTAAGCACTAATATTTTATAGAACTTAGAAACTTATTACTAGTAATTGAAACCCAACAGACTTCTGGGCCCTATACATCTAATTTTCAGAAAATCCCTGTCAGCTCTCCCAGCTGCATACCCCCACGCTACATCAAACAACTTTAGATGCATCTGAGCGCTAGGTGTCTTCATTAATCCCTGACAGCCATTAACTAACTAGTTCATGCTCAAGATGTTTCATAAGCTTCCGAACAAAAATGTGTTGTTTCCCGAAAAAAAAAATGCACATGCCCCATTCCATGACAATTATGTAAAGATGATACTGCTTCTGTTGATTTTGCAACATTTTATTGGTTTTAACTGAAAGATGCAGCCTTCTTGCAACAAAGGGGTGTTGCCAGTGGAGTTGTGGGGAGAGATTTACATAGCCACATCTTACAGAAGACACCCTTAGAGCTAGCCTAATTATGGTGTCTCCTCTTTAAAGATGATCACAGAAGCATATGAGGTCCTTCCCTCTCCACAGATCCCATCCTCCGAGGAAACAACAGTTAACAGCTGAATGTTTATCTTTCCAGCTCTTGTACTACCCCCACCCCACCACAATAACAGTTTTGCTTTTATTTTTTATTTTTATTTTTTGAGATGAAGTCTCGCTCTGTCGTCCAGGCTGGACTGCAGTGGCACAATCTCGGCTCACTGCAGCTTCTGCCTCCTGGGTTCAAGTGATTCTTGTGTCTCAGCCTCCCCAGTAGCTGGGATTACAGGCATAAGCCACCACACCTGGCTAATTTTTGTATTTTTCGTAGAGATGGGATCTCGCCATGTTGGCCAGGTTGCTCTCCAACTCCTGACCTCAGGTGATCCACCCTCCTCGGCCTCCCAAAGTGTTGGGATTACAGGCGTGAGCTACCACACCCAGCCTGTTTCACTTTTAAAATAAGGATTCAATATGCAACTTTGAATATTCTGCTAAATATATGCGGACACTCTTGTGAATAGGTAGAGATCTGCTTTATTTTTGACAGCTGTAGAATATTCCATTTTGTGTATGGATGTTCTACAATTTCCTTAAGTATATTTCCGACTGCATGGGCATTTTTATAGTGTCCTATTACAAATACTGCAAACAACAAACTTGTAGATAAATCCGTCTACATGTGGGTAAGTACATCTGTGCAGGTGAAACTGTTGGGTTAAGGGCAAATGTACATTTTAAATTCAAACGACTATTACCAAATTTTGCCCCTGAAGCATTGCAAAAACTTACACTCCCACCAATACTTTTGGAGTGACTATTTTTCTATATGTTTTGGCCAAGCTCATAGTTTTTTCCCTTCTATTTATTCCATTTAAATGTATGGATTTTCTGATTATGAATGGCCATTAAAAAATTTTATTGCCAGTTTGTGTGTTTTTGTGAAACAACTGCCCAATTCTATTTTTTTTTTTTTTTTTTTTTTTTTTTTTTTTAGTCCTTTGGGCTGGGTGCAGTGACTCACACCTGTAATCTCAGAAGTTTGGGAGGCCAAGGCGGGTGGATCACCTGAGGTCGGGAGTTCGAGACCAGCCTGACGAACATGGAGAAACCCCATCTCTACTAAAAATACAAAATTAGCCAGGCGTGGTGGTACATGCCTGTAATCCCAGCTACTCGGGAGGCTGAGGCAGGAGAATCACTTGAACCCAGGAGGTGGAAGTTGAGGTGAGCTGAGATCGCGCCATTGTACTCCAGAATGGGCAACAAGAGTGAAACTCTGTCTCAAAAAATAAAAAATAAATAAATAAAAGAGTCCTCTGTCTTTTCTTTTTGATGTATGGAGTTTCTTTATATAATAGGAATATTAATATTTTTATGCCTGTCAAATATATTACAAGTATTTTATGTCATTTGACTGTACATTTTATTTTAAATTTTATTATTATTATTATTTTTTGTGACGCAGTCTCACTCTGTTGCCCAAGCTGGAGTGCAATGGCGTGATCTCAGCTCACTGCAACCTCTACTTCCCAGGTTCAAGCGATTCTCCTGCCTCAGCCTCCCAAGTAGCTGTGATTACAGGCACGAGCCAGTAGGCCTGGCTAATTTTTATATGTTTAGTAGAGACGGGGTTTCACCATGTTGGCCAGGCTAGCCTCGAAGTCCTGGCCTCAAGAGAGCTGCCTACCTTGGCCTCCCAAAGTGCTGGGATTACAAGTGTGAGCTACTGTGCCTGGCTTTGACTATATATTTTACAATGGGACACTTTTATTTATAGAAGTTAATCTTTTTGTAATCAAATCAAATCTGCCAATCTGTAATTTATCTGGTATTTATTTTTGTGTGATTTGATTTAGTGAATATCAAGAAGAATGAAACAAGAAAATATATTTTATTACTTACCACTAGTCTTCAAAACTTTATGTGATCGTGAGGAAGGTTCTGGGAGACAAAATAAAGCCAGCATCATTTGCAAAACCAAATCAAACCTTTGTCTTTATTCTTTATAAAAGGATTATGATTCTACTGACAGATTAACAGAGCTCTATAATTTTTGTATCAAATTTAACAAAATCCCCTTTGCTCAGAGATACATAGGAGCAAGACATTCACTCTGCTAAAATGGTAGAATAAATGTTATGCTGTGTTATCAGGAGTCACCCAATAGAAAAGCAAAATCTGACTTTGTCAATCCTGTCAGTAGCAGAGCAGCTTCCTCAGCTTTCACTAACACCTACAAGCTGATGACGTTCAATTGTACATTCTTTTTTTTTTTTTTTTGAGACTGAGATTCACTCTTCTCTCCCAGGCTGGAATGCAATGGTGTGATCTCAGCTCCCTGCAACCTCTGCTTCCCGGGTTCAAGTAATTCTCCAGCCTCAGCCTCCCAAGTAGCTGGGATTATAGGCACGCGCCACCACACCCAGCTATTTTTTGTATTTTTAGTAGAGACAGGGTTTCACCATGTTGGCCAGGCTTGTCTTGAACTCCTGACCTCAAGTGATCTGCCTGCCTCGGCCTCCCAAAGTCTTAGGATTACAGGCGTGAGTCACCGCGCCCGGCATCAATTGTATATTCTTATGCCGGACCCTGTCCCAAGTGTCAGCTTCAGCAAACTCAACATCTCCATCCCAGCTCCCCTGTCTCCCCTAGATCTGCTCCTTCATCTGCATATCCTCTCTTGGTTATCGCTGACATCACCCTCCAGGGTTAGTGACCAGGCTGTTATTCTACATTTCTCCTGTTTTCTTCCATCACAGTCTTGGGGGTTCCCTGTAATCCTTTCCCTGAGTCACCCCTCTCTTAATCCAAGCCTTCATCTCTCAACAAGATGAGCACCACAGCCTCTTATCTGGTCTCCCTGCTCACTTCATTCTCCGCACACAGCCAGAGTTATTTCTTGACAAGGAAATCGTTCTCTGAGTTCACTGCTTAAAATCCTTCCACAGCTTGCAGGATCAAGTTCGAACCCTATGCATGACATACTGGGCCTCCAGAATCAGGCCCCCATCTGCGTATCTCTAGCCACATCTCTTTCCATTTCATCTCACCCACCTCTTCCTCCAGCCCCCAGCACCATCCCACTCTCTCCCCAGGCTGAACGACTGGCAACAGATGTCTGTCCTAAAGTACGCTGGCTCAAGCCTCAGGGCCTCTGCATATGCTGTTCCTGTTCCATCTGCCTCCCCTGCTGCCAGATTCTGTCTTGGGTACTGGTTCTCTGCTCTGTGAAGCCTTCTCTCTCTTCCCTACAGGGTTAATTTCTCTCTTATTTCTCCTGTTTTTGTCTCTCTGCTCTTCCTTCCATCCAACCAACCTCTGGCACTTCTCCATCACACGGACTAGTATTTATTTATTTATTATTTTTATTTTTTGAGACTGAGTCTCCCTCTATCACCTAGGCAGTGGCGTGATCTCGGCTCACTGCAACTTCTGCCTCCTGGGTTGAAGTGATTCTCCTGCTTCAGCCTCCCGAGTAGCTGGGATTACAGGTGCCTGCCAACACACCCTGCTAATTTTTGTAATTTTAGTAGAGACGGGGTTTCACCATGTTGGCCAGGCAGGTCTCAAACTCCTGACCTCAGGTGATCCTCCCGCCTCAGCCTCCCGAAATGCTGTGATTACAGGTGTGAGCCACTGCGCCCAGCCTTATTTGCATTTTTTGTCTCTGGCACCATGAGCTCCCTGCAAGCAGGAGTCACGTGGATTATTGATCCTTGCATTCCTAGTCCTTAGCAAAGCATAAAGGGGGTAATGAATAAAGACTGCTTCAAATAAAACTCCCAACCTGTCTGAACTATACTTCATGGAGTCTGGTGCAGCAAATATGAATTAAAATTTTAGCTTTGGATAATCTTTTGTGTGTGGAACTCATAGGATGTGATTTTTCATTAGCAACAGCAAATACAGTTTAAGTATCTGAATGCCAATGGTAAGATGTACAAAGCAAAATTAGTTGACTGGCATGCTTGATAGTCACGGGAAATATTAAGTAGAAAAGAGGCTTTTTTTTTTTTTTTTTTTAGACAGAGTCTCACTCTGTCACCCATGCTGGAGTACAGTGGCACGATCTTGGCTCACTGCAACCTCTGTCTCCCGGGTTCAAGTAATTCTCCTGCCTCAGCCTCCTGAGTAGCTAGGATTACAGGTGCCTGCCACCAGGCCTGGCTAATTTTTATATTTTTACTGGAGATGTGGTTTCTCCATGTTGGCCAGGCTGGTTTCGAACTCCTGACCTCAGGTGATCCACCTGCCTCGGCCTCCCAAAGTGCTGGGATTACAGAGAAAAAGAGTTTTAGATCAAAAGCTTGTGAGTCCCATCTTAAGGCAGCCGCAAATGTATTCAGACCAGCAGTGAGCTGAGAAACCAGATAGAACATGCCCTTTCGTCAGACTCAAAGGGACTTTCATTTCCAGTCCCCTATTAGTATTAAATTTTTATGACAAAATCCTATTTACCAGATTTTCTTCTCAGCCGATACGGAGCAGAACCTTCTTTAGAGCCATACAGTGCTTTCATCTCTCCCTCAGGACTGTAACAGAAGCCTGGATGATCTGTAAAGATAACCACATGCATCAGTGGGACTGCGCTGTCGGGGGCTTCTCAGAAAATGGTTATGGCTAGCGTAGATTTATATGGATTTATTATTATTATTATTTTGAGATGGAGTCTTGCTCTGTCGCCCATGCTGAAGTGCGGTGGCATGATCTTGGCTCACTGCTGACCTCTACCTCCCAAGTTCAAGTGATTCTCCTGCCTCAGCCTCCCGAGAAGCTGAGACTACAGGTGACTGCCACCATGCCTGACTAAGTTTTGTATTTTTAGTAGAGACGGGGTTTCACCATGTTGGCCAGGCTGGTCTTGAACTCCTGACCTGACCTCAGGTTATCCACCCGCCTCGGCCTCCCAAAGTGCTGGGATTACAGGTGTGAGCCACCATGCCTGGCCTATATGGATTTATTCTTTTTCATCTGACATGGATATGATCCTTCTCCCACAATTGGTGCTGTATATGTATCTCAGGGCTTTTTGTTTACATTGGGACTTGTAGGAGTCTGTTAGCTGGGATGATAAGCTTGAGCCACCACACCCGGCCAAAAAAAAAATAATAAAAAATAAATAAATAAAAAAAATCTGAAGGCAATTTCTGCTGGCTGAAATGTTGAGGTCTAGAGAATACAGCCTAGCACTCTGCTGGGGTGCTCCAGGCATCATTTCTCAGGTCTGTTGGATGGGAGATGGGAGCCTCAGCTGCAGCGATGGTGGGACTGCGCCTGTTTCCACTTTGCTGATGCTGCTTTTCCCCCTGGGGAGTTAACAAGTGCCAGGCTGGACGGAAGGGAATCAACGTTTGTACTTGATTCCGCAAAGTAAGGTATTATGAAAGGGTTAAGTAAAAGTAGAAGTGTTTTCAGTGCAAGTGTCCAGCAGACCTGATTGCATTTAAAGCCATTGTTTTCTCTTTTAATTCTATTTAATCTGAAAAATAACAAAGACGTGATAAATGCTGTTGAATAAGGTCTTATTTAGTAGGAAGAACCTGGAATATTTCTTCTCTTCTGCTTTTGTAAGCCTAGAAATACACTCACATATGTGGGGTGGTTGTGATTTTAGAATTTTCTGCTGCATCAGGAAAACCAATACTATGAAGCGATTGAGATTCTTGCAGATAATCAATATTCTGTTAGGGATGAAGTGAGAAATGCATTGTGAAGCCCTGGTTTTTGGTGGTGGTAGAGGTTGGGGGTGGGTGGGGGTAGAGTTGACCCTGGAGACATAACTGACATTGTTAGTTGATGCAGAAACCCAGACTGTGGCCAGCCATCAAGGGACTCAGATAAACCTGGGAGAACCAATGTAGAAACAAGCCAATGAACTAAGAAGGGATTATACTGTCCAACCAATTTGTGAAAAGAGTGAATAGAAAGATATTATTTTCTAACAATTGACATTTTCATGAACTTTAAGATAGAAAATGTGATAGATACAAATAGACAATGAAATTTCAAATTGTGTTAAGGAAATAAAACTTACAAATGGCATCCATTTCAAGGATTGCTTGCTTGGCCTGAAAGAGAGAAAGTGGGGCTGTAATTCCAATTGCTTTGTTTTTCTTTAAACTCCAAATCTCAACACAGATCTTATCCCACCTGAATAAATAGAGTTTTAAAAACGTTTAAAAACTCGCTATTTATTTTAAGCATTTACACACAGTTCAGGGAATTCAAGCAGATGAGTGCCCTCATGTGGGCAATAGCTGCTACACCATCAAGGCACCAGAGCTAAGACTGCACCACCAACCCTGTGAAAGAGGACGGAGGGAGGCTGGTTCCTAAGCCCGGCTGATCATTAGCACTCATTGGCCAATTTATTAAAAATGCAGATTCTCGGCTGGGCGCAGTAGCTCGCACCTGTAATCCCAGCACTTTGGGAGGCCAAGGTGGGCAGATCACAATCACAAGGTCAGGAGTTCAAGACCAGCCTGGCCAATATGGTCAAATTCCATCTCTACTAAAAATACAAATATTAGCCAGGCAAGGTGGCGGGCGCCTGTAGTCCCAGCTAATTGGGAGGTGGAGGCAGCAGAATTGCTTGAACCCAGGAAGCGGAGGTTGCAGTGAACCGAGATTATGCCACTGCACTCTAGCTTGGGTGACAGAGCAAGACTCCATTGCAAAAAAAAAAAAAAAAATGCAGATGCTTGCCACCCAACCCTGACCAACTGACCCAAAAACTCAAGGCATGGAGCCTGGTATCTTTATCACCAGCCCTCACCACGACTCTAGGGCTGTGTAACTACTTTGAGTTAATTGCAAAATGGCTGCTGGAAGTTTCCTCTCATTGTTGTCTTTCCTCCTGCAGAATGCTATGTGATTATTATGAGTTAAGTCTCTCTGTTACCCCAACTCCCTGCACCTCTCATCTCTTTTATGTGCCCCAGAGTCTCCCAGAGTGGGACAGCCCTGAAGGACAACGTCTGTGATCCCAGCTCAGGCACTTCACTAGGTGGGTGCTCTCCCATCCCAGAATGTGCTTCCTCAACTGGACAGTGGGATCATGGAGCCTCTCTTTCAGAACAGTCATTAGGATTCAATGATCAGCTCAACTGGTGAGTTCCACCCACCCACCCTCATAGGCAGGGGTCCCCAACCCCCGAGCCATAGACTGGTACTAGTTCATGGCCTGTTAGGAACCGGGCCGTACAGCAGGAGGTGAGTGGTGGGCAAGTGAGAGAAGCTGCATCTGGATTTACAGCGGCTCCTCAAGGCTGGCATTACAGCCTGAGCTCTGCCTCCTATCAGATCAGTGGCAGCATTAGATACTCATAGGAGTATGAACCCTACTGTGAATTATGCATGCGAGGGATCTAGGTTGCAGCACTCCTTATAAGAATCTAATGCCTGATGATCTGAGGTGGAGCTGAGGCAGTGATGCTAGCACTGGGGAGTAGATTAACGTTAGCAGAGAGGTTTGACTGCTCAGAGATCATAATAAATCAATTGCTTGCAGATTCATATCAAAACCCTGTCAGTGAGTGACAAGGGGCAATTAAGCTGCATCTGGTGGCAGGCTTTATCGTGGCAAGTGAGTTGATGTACTTCAATTGTACGGCTGCATCCGGTGGCCTTAAAAGTATGTTTGAGGCCGGGCATGGTATCTCATGCCTGTGATCTCAGCACTTTGGGAGGCTGAGGCAGGCAGATCACGAGGTCAGGATTTCAAGACCAGCCTGATCAACATGGTGAAACCCCATCTCTACTAAAAATACGAAAAATTAGCTGGGCATGGTGGTGTGCGCCTGTAACCCCAGCTACTCAGGAGGCTGAGGCAGGAGAATTGCTTGAACCCGGTGGGCAGAGGTTGCAGCACCGCTGCACTCCAGCCTAGGCAACAGAATGAGACTGCATCTTAAAAAAAAGAAAAAAGTATTTTTGAGACAACTTCCAATGTCCATACATTCTGGACTAAAGTCCAGGCGAATATCCTGAGATTGCCACAAAAGCACAAAAGCCTGCTTCCATTTCCAACATCCTATCTTTGTAAAGCAGGGTTTTCTGCAGTGACAGCCACCAAAATAAGATTAGAACAGACTGTACATAAGCAACACACTTGGGGTGTCGCTGTCCCCCATCACCCCCAGATGGGACCGTCTAGTTGCAGGAGAACAAGCTCAGGGCTCCCACTGGATTCTACGTTATGGTGAGCTGTATAACTATTTCATTATATATTACCATGTAGTAATAGAAATAAAGTGTGCAATAAACGTAATGTGCTTTCATCATCCCAAAAGCCTTCCCCTGCCTCTGTCTGTGGGAAAATTGTCTTCCACAAAACCAATCCCTGGTGCCCAAAAGGTTGAAGACCACTGTCCTAGCGGATTGTAGCCTTTCTTGCCTCTTTAAAGTCATTTTCATTTTTTAAGGGTAGTATAATTTAACCTAGAAAACACTACGCTAAAAATAACTTTTAAAATAATTTTACTCTAATTTGCTACCATCTGTGATATCACAGTACAAATATTTCGGCTAAGTGGTGATCATATTTAGTGAAAAAGCGTGGGGCTGAGTCACCTTAGAGGAAACAAATGCTTCAGTTTTTGTAACACTGATAGCTATCTCTCTTGTACATTCAGCGTCTGAGATTATGAGTTGAAATTAATTACAAACACAAATGTTAGCTTAGTCTCTGGGAAGTGCAATTACAGAACTATACTAATATATAAAATGCAAAATACCTTCATCTTTATTCTCAATTAATTTGGAGAAGGGTTTAATTTATTTACCACATACACTAATGGGCAATATGGCTATTTCCAAGAAGTTCCCTGGTATCTGTAGAGCTGACTTTCAAGAATGTATTTTTTAAGTCTTGACATTTAATTTTTAAAGTACTGTTTCCAGGTTTTCCACTAGGTGTCAGCCAAGGACCATCATTGAATTAAAAGAACGGACGGCAGCTGGGAGGCTGTAACTAATGAGTTTCCTACAGCTGTGTTGATATTATTAGACTGGTGATACATTTCTTGATTTTAAAAATTTCCCACTATGCATTTATTTCATAGAAATAATAGAAATACATTTTGAAAACTTTAGGAAAATAAATAATCTCAAGGAAAGATGTGGAAAGTTCACTTTAATAATAATCCTGCTTAAATAGAAAATTATGATTACATTATAGTGAATAAAGTATATTAAACACGTGCGTTTGAGGCTGGGTATGGTGGCTTCTGCCTGTAATCCCAGCACTTTGGGAGGCTGAGGCGGGTGGATCACTTGAGGCCAGGAGTTCGAGACCAGCCTGGTCAACATGGTGAAACCTCATCTCTATAAAAATACAAAAATTAGCCAGGTGTGGTGGTGCGCACCTCTAGTCCCTGCTACTTAGGTGGCTGAGGCACAAGAATACTTGAGCCCAGAAGGCGGAGGTTGCAGTGTGCTTTTTCTTGTATGGAGACCGCGCCACCGCACTCCAGCCTGGGTGACAGAGTGAGACCCTGTCTCAAAACAAAACAAAAGAGAAAAATGTGTTGTTATTGCCAGTGGGAACAATGTGGTTAGGATGCTCTTTGGAGCCAGATAGACCCAGGTTTGGATCCAGGCTTGGTCATGTACTAGTTATACGAACTTGGGCAGTTTATTTAATGTTTCTCCGCCTCTGTTTTTATTTTTTCTAGAATGGGAAGAATAAGAAGTACCTCATAACATATTTTGGTGAGGCTGAAATAAGAATATAAGTACTCAGCACAGTGTGTATGCTCAATAAGTTGTAACTGAAAAGATGTTTTTAGATAGAAGGGATCGACAACCTGGGGAGAAAGTATGATGTTATACTGACTATATCAATCATTTCAGTACTTAAAGGGAACTTCCTGGGACACACACACCTAGTGTGGAGAAAGACAGGTATGTAAGGTGGTCTCGTTTTGTAACTGCCTTTCAGAATCTTGTTAGCAATTTTGATTTTCCCACTAGACAGGTAAACAATAGGTGGGGCCCATCAAAGACGCTCTGCCATTGCTCAGAAGGGCGTTCTAAGGCAGCAGGCCAGCAACAAAATGACTAATCATAAAGAAAATGCAGCCCCTCTCTGCATGAGCTCCCTTTCATCTCATAACACCCTGATGAATCGAAAACTCATGCTTAGGTCCCAGTCCACACCTATGCACATTCATTTCCTGAGGACCAAATCATTGCTGGCAGTCCTGAGAACAAGCTTCAGATGCTTGTCAAAATACACAGAGAACAAAACAGACTGTCCCCTTTCTCAGAAATCTCAGCCCTTCTTATTTTCCACCCAGTTCAATTTTCATAATCATCACCCCATTGTCTGCTCCACCTCACTCCTCCCAGCCTCAGCTTGGACCATTTCACCATCCATGTGAATAATCCACCCACCACCCTCCCTCTAGTTCCTTGACCACTTTATCTCTAATGACCTTTCCTCCACTCCAGAGCAGCAACACAGAATCAGAGCCACCTCCAGAACCTGATCACACTCAAAACCGCCCCACCTCTAAGGCAGGACTCCAAAAGTCCCTTCTTCAACCACAGATTGGTGTATTTCCTTCTCTCCAACATTAAGTCCTGCTGAACCAGGCTTTATGACAATACTGCAGTCCCTCAACCCATGCTTCTGTTGCCAGCTGGTTTTCCTCTCCACTCAGCCTGATGTCATGCCCAATTACTGCAACTTCGTGCTCACTGGCACCCTCCCCACCCCCGCCCTGGGAACCTTCCCCTACCAGCTCTGCCGGTTCCCAACCTGGAGGAACCCACACGCACCAGTAGTTTCCAAGTTGCTGAGCAGATTTTGAAATGACGTCATCACACTGATTCTTGGGGGCCAGCTTCAGTTGGGTCTTTGATGCCTTCCACAGATCATTCTAGTCATCTCTAGTGACTGGTCCATTTTCTTTCTTTCTTTTTTTCTTGAGATGGAGTCTCACTCTGTCACCGAGGCTGGAGTGCAGTGGCGCGATCTTGGCTCACTGCAAGCTCCGCCACCTGGGTTCACGCCATTCTCCTGCCTCAGCCTCCTGAGTAGCTGGGACTACAGGCACCCGCCATGACACCCGGCTAATGTTTTGTATTTTTAGTATAGATGGGGTTTCACCATGTTGGCCAGGATGGTCTTGATCTCCTGACCTCGTGATCTGTCTGCCTCAGCCTCCCAAAGTGCTGGGATTACAGGTGTCAGTCACCGCACCAGGCCTGGTCCATTTTCTTTAGCAAGTGTTCTTCTGATCCCTTCCACTTTCCCTCAGACACCCCTGATCTCTGCTTCATTCACCCAGCAGATGACTTTATCACCTGCATGAGTGAAATCAAATGCTTTGTCTTCCCCCAAGTCTACCTCAAAGCTCCTCTGTCTTTCATCTTTTTCTCCCTTGGCTCAAGAGAGATGCTTCCGGCCCTTTCCAAGATAAGCCCCTATTCCTCTGTGTCCCATCCTCTCCCTTCCCACCTCCCCAGGCTCCCTTCCAACAGGAAGTGAGCCACTGTCTCCTCTCCCATCTCCCTTCTCCTGCCGTGCCATCCGCTCTTGGACTCAGCATTCGACCCAGGCAAGGAGTCTTGCTTTGCTCTTGCCTCTCTCTCCAAACTATCATTTTTTTTTTTCCTTTTGTGAACTTTACATATAAAAAAGTCTATACGCATTCTGTTTCTTCTTAATCCCCCTTTTTCTTCAACCCACTGTGACCTTTCCCTTTTCTCTTAGTTGCCAAATCTAAAATTTGCTTTTCTGTTTAAATCTCCTTGACCTCAGCAGCCTTTGAGACTGTGTCTCCCCGCCGTCTCTGAGATGTGCTTTTTCCTGTTAGCGCAGCGCCTCCTCCTCAGGCCTCCTCCCTGCCTCCTCTGCTACTCTTTCCATCTTTCTTTGGCTGTTCTCCAAATCCCCCCACCTGCTTGCGGATAACTTAGATGTTAGGATTCCCAAGGGTTTGTCTTTCCTTTGCATATTTTTTTGGGCCATCTTTTTAAACCTTTTTAAACCTAGGGCTTCACTTACTGCCTCTAGCAAATGTCTCCTGATCCTTAGATTCCAAGACCTGAATTTCCACCTGTGGCTGACCTTGCCCAGCAGCACGGGTGCCAGTGACAGCAGAGGACTCCTCTCTCTCACTCCCATCTCACGGGTTCCTCTCCCTTTCTGTCTGTCTCAGAACCCACAGTACCATGCTCTCCTTCAACCCGACTCAGCCTTGACTCTCAGTGGGCAAAATCCTGCCCTCTGCCTCAGTGGCACGTTCTGCATTTGTCCCCTCTGTCGCTGTGGCTCCACGGCAGCACTGCTCAGCTCCTTTCTAGGCCATGGTGGTGGGTTACCATCTTCTCCAGCCTCCAACCTCACTCCTGCCACTTATTTGTCACCCTGTCCCCAAAGTTACACTCTCAGAACACAGGACCGACCATGCCATCTCCCCTTCCTCCAAAGCCTGCAGTAATTTCCCAGTGCGAATGTGTCCAGACTCCTCAGAGTGCATGCCCACAGCCCTCCAGGGGCTCCTGCCCTTCCCCTCCCTGCCCCAGCCCCTGCCTCAGCCCCTGAGAACTCAGTCCTCCCATCCCGGCACCATCTGTGCACCCTGAACACAGTGCATTCATTCTTTTTTTTTTTTAATGCAGGTCTCTAGGTCTGGTTTCCTTAATTCCTTTTTTTCCCACTTATAAAAATATTACTAAGACTGGGAACAGTGGCTCATGCCTGTCATCCCAACACTTTGGAAAGGCTGAGACAGGCAGATCACTTGAACCCAGAAGTTTGAAACCAGCCTGGGCAAGATGATGAGCCCACACCTTTCTTTACCAAAAATACAAAAATTAGCTTGGCGTGGTGGCACACGCCTGTGGTCCCAGCTACTCTGGGAGGCTGAGGTGGTGGGATCTCTTGAGCCCAGGAGGTCAAGGCGGCAGTGAGCCATGTTTGCACCACTGCACTCCAGCCTGGGCGACAGAGTAAGATCCTATCTAAAAAAAAAAAAAAAAAAAAAAAAATCTCATCCTTTAAGACCGAGGTAAAAGATGTTTTCCTTCCTCTCTCCACTTAACTGAACACTCTATTCTTCCACAGCATCTGTTACGTCTTCATGGTTGGCAGATGGTTCGTGGCATCCTCTTCTAAGCCCCAAAAGGAAAAATACCACCACTCCACAGAGCCCGCGACTCATGTGAATCTTTTTTTTTTTTTCCTTGAGATGGGATCTTGCTATGTCACTCAGGCTGGAGTGCAATGGCAAGATCTCAGCTCATTGCAACCTCCGCCTCCTAGGTTCAAGTGATTCTCCTGCCTCAGCCTCTTGAGTAGCTGGGACTACAGGCATGTGCTACCACACCCAGCTAGTTTTTGTATTTTTAGTAGAGATGGGGATTCACCATGTTGCCCAGGCTGGTCTTGAACTCCTGACCTCAGGTGATCTGCCCACCTTAGTCTCCCAAAGTGCTAGGATTACAGGCGTGAGCCACCATGCCTGGCCCCATGTGAATCTTTTCAATGTTAAAGGCTGGTTTAGCTGAGACATAGTTCCTACATTTCCTACCTCTCAATTTTCTTTCTTTTTTTTTTTTTTGAGACAGTCTTGCTGTGTCACCCAGGCTGGAGTACAGTGATGCAATCTCAACTCACTGCAACCTCCACCTCCTGGACCCAGGTGATCCTCCCACCTCAGCCTCCCAGAGTAGCTGGGACTACAGGTGCGTGCCATCATGCTGGGGGTGAACTTTTATATTTTATGTAGAGACGGGTGTCTCACTTTGTTGTCCAGGCTGGTCTCGAACTCCTAGGCTAAAGTGTTCCGCCTGCCTTAGCCTCCCAAAGTGCTGGGATTACAGGCATGAGCCACCATGCCAACCTTTTTATTTTGAAATTGAACATTTATCCTGTCAGGATGCCTTGCTGGGACTTCATTAGTAATTAGATGATCTGATTAATGGTTGTCACTCCCAGAATCTAATTCTAAACATTTTTTTTTTTTTTTGACCCAGTCCCTTTGTATTTTTTTGAGACAGTCTCATTCTGTCACCCAGTCTAGAGTGCAATGACGCGATCTCGGCTCACAGTAACCTCCACCACCCAGGTTCAAATGACTCTCCTATCGCTCTCCTGTTTCACTGTGCATTATTCAGTGTCCTACCTTAGCTGGGATCTTGGCTGCATGATTCTCCAGAATCAGTCTCTTTAGGTGCAGAACCCAGAGGCGTTTGTCTTGCTGGGATTTGGCCTGCCAAGACGAGATGTAGACAGTCAGACAACTTGATACCACCACCCACAGGACCCTCTGATGAGATGGGAAATGACCATGTGGCCAGAACCCTCTCAAAAAGCTGCCTGGTACACAGCACTCATCATTACACAAAGGGGCCTTGCGGAGAGGCCAGGGCCTGGCCGCTACCTGGACTGTGTGCTGCAGCTTGGGATTCTTGTAGTGGAAGACGCTGAAGCTGAGCGGCTCCTTCGGAATCACCTCCACGAGCATGAGGTTGCCACACTAGAGCAGAGAGAGCAGAGAGGGTGAGGCACACTCAGGAGGGAATGGAACTGGGGATCTGAGTCCCTGCCCGTGGCCAGCGTGCAGACCTACCAGGATGTGAGCTTTGTATGTAAACGTGTCGTCTCTCTTCTTCGTGATGAGCAGCAGCTTGTCGAAGAGGAAGAGTGTCCGCTCATTCTTGGCTCGCTGGATGCGGAAGGTTCCCTCAAGCACCAGTTCCCCATAGCTGGTCAGGTCTGGCCCCTTCCAGTTAGTGAGCAAACTCTGTATCTCCTGAGAAAGGGAATGGGCCATGGCATTTAACAGGAGGCAGAAGCCAGGCACCAAGGGCTTGATGGCCCAGCTGTTGAGCCTCAAGAATGGTAATAAATCGTCCCCGACGGGGTCTAACGATCTACATGGTATCTGATGGTCTATGACATGGATCTGCATTTACAGGTGGTGTCACTTAAGGGCTAACAGAAGTGAATCAGGCTGTTAGTTGATGAGCTGCTACTTACTTATTTCCATTCCTTCATCATGCCATGCTGTGGCTCACAGCAGCCCTTACATCTTTCAAAAGCCAGGTCCAGGGCCACCAGTATGGGACCCTCTCAGATAGGCCTCCTTCACTTGATTTTCTTTGTTTTGTTTTGTTTCCTTGAGACGAAGTCTCACTCTGTCACCCAGGCTGGAAGGAAGTGGCGCAATCAGGGCTCACTGCAACCTCCACCTCGCCGGTTCAAGCGATTCTCCTGCCTCAGCCTCCTAAGTACCTGGGATTACAGGTGCCCATCACCATGCCTGGCTAAATTTTTAAATATTTTTAGTAGAGATGGGGTTTTGCCATGTTGGCCAGGCTGGTCTTCAACTCCTGACCTCAAGTGATCTGCCCACCTGGACCTCTGAAAGTGCTAGGATTACAGACGTGAGCCACTGCACCCAACCCCTTCCCTTGATTTTTCTCATTCCCTCTTCTCTGGGGAAAAAAACCCTTCAGAGTTGTTGACTTGAAGACTTTCTTCGAGATACCAAAGTTCATACTACACATAAGTAATTCAAAACTAAAGCCTATATAAATCATCCACGTCATTTTCTCAGAAATTTCTTGAGTTTAAATTTACCTACTCAGGGAAAGGAAAGGAACCTTTCTTTGCCCCTAACTTATGTTTCAGTATTTTTTTGGTTAAAATTTAAAAATTTTATGGGTTCACGGTAGGTGTATATATTTATGGGGTACACGAGATATTTTGACGGGCATACAATGCATAATAAACACATCAGGGTAAATGGGCCTCCATCACCTCCAGCATTTATCATTTCTTTGTGTTATGAACATTCCAATTACAATTTCAGTTATTTTATAAGTTATTGTTGACTATAATACCCCTGTTGAACTATCAAATACTAGATCTTATTCAACATATTTTTTTTTTTTTTTGGAGACAGAGTCTCGCTCTGTTGTCCAGGCTGGAGTGCAGTGGCGCAATCTTGGCTCACTGCAACCTCTGCCTCTTGGGTTCAAGTGATTCTCCTGCCTCAGCCTCTCAAGTAGCTGGGATTACAGGCACCCACTACCATGCCTGGCTAATTTTGGTATTTTTAGAAGATATGGGGTTTCACTATGTTGGCCAGGCTGGTCTCAAACTCCCAACCTTGGGTGATCTGCCTGCCTCGGCCTCCTAAACTGCTGGGATTACAGGTGTCAGCCACCGCATCTGGCCTAGATCTTATTGTCTCTAAGTAAAGTTTTGTATTCATTAACCACCCCCACTTGCCCCACTCCCTGTTTTAGTGCTTTTAATGGAAATTGATAAATATAAACTAATAACATGACTTTGACTTTTCTGTGGAATTTATTGTATATCAATATCAGTGTTTTTAAAGGAAGTTGATTTTATTATTTTGAAAAATGAAAATAGTCACAAGCACCATTTAATTAAGGAACTCACAAGACAACAAAAACTTTACTGGTTGAAAACAGAATGAACAGAAATGGAGTATTAATTTGAGCCAGAGTCTGATTCAGTAATGACTTCAGAATGTCAAGCAACTACACAGAGTATGAAAAACCAGCCATTTAGACATTTCTGAATACTGTAGTCCCCCTTATCTGCAGGGGATATGTTCCAAGACCCCCAATGGATTCTCGGAACTGGGGATAGTATCGACCCCTAAATACACTATGTTTTCCCTACAAATACATACCTATGATAAAGTTTAATTTATAAATTAGGCATAAGATATTAACAACAATAACTGATAATAAATTAGAATAATTATAACAATATGTCAGCATCACTGCTCCGTTTGGGGGCATTATGAAGCAGAATAAGGTTGACTTGAACACAAGCATTGCAAAACAAGACAGTCGATCTGATAACCAAGCCAGCTACTGAGTGACTAACAGGTGAGTGGCCGTAGGCAGTGTGATTGGACAAAGGGGTGATTCATGTCCTAGGTGGGAGGGAGAAGGGCAGTGTGAGATTCCATCACGCTACTCAGAATGGTACAGAATTTAAAATTTACAGATTGTTTATTTCCAGAATTTTCCATGTAAAAAAATTTTTTTTTTTTTGAGATGAAGTCTTGCCCTGTTTCCCAGGCTAGAGTGCAGTGATGTGATCTCAGCTCACTGCAACCCTGTGTCCCGGGTTCCAGCGATTCTCCCACCTCAGCCTCCCAAGTAGCTGGGGTTACAGGTGTGTGCCACCATGCCCGGCTAATTTTTTGTAGTTTTCTTTTTTCTTTTTTTTTTTTTTGAGACAGAGTCTTGCTCTGTCACTCAGGCTGCAGTGCAATGGCATGATCTCAGCTCACTGCAACCTCCACCTCCTGGGTTCAAGCAATTCTCCCGCCTCAGCCTCCCAAGTAGCTGGGATTATAGGCATGTGCCACCAAGCCCAGCTAATCTTTTATATTTTTAGTAGAGACAGGGTTTCACCATGTTGCCCGGCTGGACTTGAACTCCTGACATCAAGAAATCCACCTGCCTCGGCCTCCCAAAGTGCAGGGCTTACAGGTGTGAGCATCACTCCTCATTTAAAATGTTCTAACCTTGGTTGACCACAGGCAAATGAAACTGCCGGAAGTGAAAGTGTGGATCAGGGGGATGACTGTATTCAATGGATTCTGATATTATGTCTGCAAAACACTTGTATGATAAAGCATTAAACTTTTGTTGCCGTTGCCAAAAAAAAAAAAAAAAAGCAGCCTGGAAGATTAGAATGTCATCTTCCTCTGAGTTTTGATAGTCAATGACATCACACCACACTCTGGCTGCTTATACCTGAAGCCTACAGAGTTTGTTCTGACTTATGAGCCAAATAAGGTATCCTTTTTCTCGAGTTAGGCAGGGCCACTCTGTATAGCGTGGAGTCACTTTGGGCTTTTCTCTCTCACTCTAGGGATAGCCAGGAGCCTGGAACTGGCCTCTGGGCCCACGCAGCCTCTTGTTTTGTTTTTCATAGTGCATCTATTGAAGTCCCCAGGGCATGATCATTGGCCCAACATCTGTCAAAAGTTCCTTAAGATTTAGGGCTCAAAATGTTTGTGCTGGATAGGCCTTTAGCAAACTTCTCTGTCTTATTTTAAAAATGAGGAAACTGTAGGGCGTGGTGGCTCATGCCTGTAATCCCAGCACTTTGGGAGGCTGAGGCAGGTGGATCATCAGAGGTTAGGAGTTCAAGATAAGCCTGGTCAACCTGGTGAAACCCCATCTTTACTAAAAACAGAAAATTAGCTGGGCGTGGTGGTATGCCTCTGTAATCCCAACTACTAAGGAGGCTGAGGCAGGAGGATCGCTTGAACCCGGGAGCCGAAGGTTGCACCGAGCTGAGATTGTGCCACTGCATTCCAGCCTGGGCAACAGGAGTGAAACTTCGTCTCCAAAAACAACAAAAAAAGGAAACTAAAATGACACGCTGGAGGGTCACGTCCCAAGTGACGGTAAAGGAGCTGGTTCAGCCTTGGCTCCCCCTCCTCTGCGTCCCCTGCCTATGACCACCCACCTCATGATTTTGCAGGAACTGGTGGCAGAGGAATAAAGGCTTAACAAGTGTTTATATAGTTTAGGGAAAGTTGCTTTAAACAAGAATTACTAAATTTGCAATTAATAGAAGGAGGAGACTCAAAATTTTAACTTAGATCATCAAAGGGGCTATAAGCAAACAATTAGCTTAAAAGTTATAATTTTGGCTGGGTGTGGTGGCTCACGCCTGCAATCCCAGCACTTTGGGAGGCTGAGGTGGGCATATCAACGGAGGTCGGGCGTTCGAGACCAGCCTGTCCAACATGGAGAAACCCCGTCTCTACTAAAAATACAAAATTGGTGGCTCATGCCTGTAATCCCAGCACTTTGGGAGGCTGAGGCGGGTGGATCACCTGAGGTCAGGAGTTCGAGACCAGCCTGACCAACATGGAGAAACCCCGTCTCTACTAAAAATACAAAATAAGCCAGGCATGCCTGTAATCTCAGCTACTCAGGAGGCTGGGGCAGAGTAATTGCTTGAACGCTGGAGGCAGAGGTTGTGGTGAGCTGAGATTGTGCCATTGCACTCCAGTCTGGGCAACAAGAGCGAAACTCCATCTCAGAAAAAAAAAAAAAAAAGAAAGTTATAATGTCACTTTCTCTTAAATAGCCATACTAGACAATGGTCAGTATTACTGATGTCCTGAACTTTTTTCAGGGAGAACTACACTGAAGACCGTGAGTGTAGTGCAGTACTTGCGCAGTCTTAATATTTTATTGGGAAAACAGTCAGTCAGTACACCTGCAACCCTGCTGGGCACCGACACCTCGCAGGCTCACCTGTAACCGGACCGCGTGCTCATGTTTCCGCTTCATGTCATTGATGTGCCAGGCGACTCGCTGCATTGTGTCTATAGCATCAAGCACCACATCATAGCCTTCTGTGTCCTTATCAAGGTGATTTTCTATTTCCTTAAACAAAAAAGAACAATTTTTTTCCCATTTTTTTCATACAGCCAGTGAAACAAATGCCACCTCTATGATTAGTTCCTTATATTTTATTTTTACTTATTTATTTACACACTACCAGCTGGGTGTGGTGGCTCACGCCTATAATCCCAGCACTTCGGGAGGCCGAGATGGGTGGATCACCTGAGGTCTGGAGTTCGAGACCAGCCTGGCCAACATGGTGAAACCCTGTCTCTCCTAAAAATACAAAAATAAGCTGGGCATGGTGGCGCATGCCTGTAGTTCCAGCTACTTGGGAGGCTGAAGCAGAAGAATCACTTGAACCTGGGAGACAGAGGTTGCAGTGAGCCAAGACTGGGCCACTGCACTCCAGCCTGGGTGACAGAGTAAGACTTTGCCTTAAAATAAATAAAGAATTAATTAATTGATAAAATATTTACAGACTACCATCATTCTTTAAGATTTTGAGGCTGGAAATATCTGCAACAAAATGGTAAGACAAGGAGAAAAAAAAAAAAAGGATAAGAAAGATAAAAGTAGAATAGAATTCCAGGATAAACAGGATAAAATACAACATGCATGTAGCCCACTGAGTATCACAGTGATATTACAGTTATTACAACAGATGTGGGAATTGATCTCATAGCTGTAGAGTTCTGAGCTTCCTGGTGGCCAATGTTAAACAGTTCTCAGTAATATAGTTCTCACTCTTATAAGATAAAACGCATACTTATTTTTTCCCTTATTTATTTAGGAAGCAAATGTTTCACACAGGACCTTAATATTTAACAGACTCAAAAATATAGTGAAAACTATCTTTACAAAACGATCTCTATAGCAAGTAGGCATTTTAGCACATTTTCCTATAGACAAGGTTTTAAAGGCCAAATGAAGTGGACTAAAGACAATCCTTCAGAGTGTTGAGAAGGATCTCATGGTTTCAGCACTCAATTCTCTGATGGTCAGAAGTATGTTACATTAGCAATCATCTTACCACTGGAGGCCCACAATCCCAGGAACATGAGAGAGGGACAGGATCTTTGTTCTAATTCTTTTGAGCACATAAGACACTTGTCCCTTGATCCTCAACAGTCTAAAGATAGAGACTATTGTATAGAGTTCCTTTGATTCTTTATCTCTCCTCAGTGCCCAGCAGAGAGCTGGGTGGCAAATAAGTGCTTATTAAACTGAAACTATTGCCTTCTGAAAAACAACAATAACAGTAATCCTATATTAGTGCCTAAAACAGTAAGAAAACACTAATCAATTAGATCGTTCTTGTTAACATTTATCATACACAATCAGCTAACAGGTAGAGGTTAAATGTTATAGTACAACTTGAAGATTAGTCCCATTATTTTATAGTAACGATGTAGATCTTTGTTTACTTTTACTGAATACTCAACTTTTTCATCTAGCTAGAAACTGTATAAGAATTTACATTTTCTTTCCATGCTTGGACTCAGCTGTTAACATGGTCCTAAATGGCAAATTTAAAAACATAATGATTTCTTCTTTTAGCCTGAGAGACAATTGTGCTCATCAGTAAACAGACTGGGAGGTACAGAGGATATTTCTGTGGGGATTTTCATGGATGGCTACATAACTTTGAAATGACGTGAATGGGCTGGGCGCGGTGGCTCACTTCTGTAATCCCAGCACTTTGAGAGGCCGAGGCAGGCAGATCATGAGGTCAAGAGATCGAGACCATCCTGGCCAATATGGTGAAACCCCATCTCTACTAAAAATACAAAAAATTAGCTGGGCGTGGTGGTGCGCACCTGTAGTCCCAGCTATTCGGGAAGCTGAGGCAGGAGAATCGCTTGAACCTGGGAGGCAGAGGTTGCAGTGAGCTGTGATTGTGCCACTGCACTCTAATCTGGCAAAAGAGAGAAACTCCATCTCAAAAAAAAAAAAAGATAAAAAGAAAAACAAAAAGAAAGAAATGATGTGAATGACATAGAGGGAGCCCTCTAATCATCTATGAAAACAGAAAACACTTCAAAAGCAACCAGAAGTCAGTTTTGGATTAATCTAACCACTTTTTTTTCTTCATTGCCAGCCCTTAATATGCAGGATAAAGGCTGTTTTTCCTGTTAATTAACTTTTTGTAAGGATCTTGACTCGTTGTCTCACATGCTTAACTGAGATCTTAAACTTTCCTTTCGATTAACGGCCAACGGCCATCTCACTGTCTAGAAGACCACATTAGAGATTTTTGGGACACACACGTCTTAGACGTTATATTAACAGAATTCAGCAGAGATGTGTCCTGAGACAAATCTTATTTAAGAGTTATTTGGACACTGATTTCGCAAATAAATCCCACTAAATCTAAGAGGTCATAAGGATCAATTTAAAAATTAAAATAATATCCCCAATGTGACTTCAGGGAACATAAGATTCTCCAAAGATAAGCCACCCAGGCAAACAGACGAAGTTAAGAAATTGCTAGTAAAGATGGACAAAGTTCTTGAAATTTTAAATATATATGAACCAAACAAATCTGGAATAATTATCCAAGTTAGAAACTTGGAATCACTTAAAAAGAGATACCTGTAAACTGCAGGCCTGTTGATGTGGAGAGGAACTCTGAATTAAAATTCCTTTAAAAAGGGGATTTTAATGTATCATAAAAATAATAAACAATAGCTTATTTTTATCAAATGCCTGTGAGTCACAGTGAATGTGGGCAATTGATAAGATTTAGACCCAGGCAGTCTTTCCCAGAGCCCTGTTCCTAACCACTCCACTGTACTGTCTTTCTCCTGCTACAAAAGCAAGCAAGCCCTACTTACAGAATGAAAATTACCTACTATCATAGTTTTTTTTTTTTTTTTTTTTTTTTCATTCGCATCAACTGTTTTGGAGGGTAAGAAATAAGAATTTGAGGCCAGGCGTGGTGGCTCACGTCTGTAATCCCAGCACTTTGGGAGACTGAGGCAGGAGGATTGCTTGAGCTCAGGAGTTTGAGACCAGGCTGGGCAACATGGTGACATTCTATCTCTACCAAAAATACAAAAAAATTAGCCGGGCATGGTGTTGCACACCTGGAGTCCCAGCTACTCAGGGTGCTGAGGTAGGAGGACTGCTTGAGCCCAGGAGGCGGAAGTTGTAGTGATCTGTGATTACACCACTGCATGCCAGCCTGGGCAACAGAGCCAGACCCTGTCTCAAGAAAAAAAAAAAAAAAAAAAAGAAAAGAAAAGGAAAAACAATTTAAGAGATATGATTATCTTTGTTTCTAAAGCCTTCTTGAATTTTGTAAAAGTAGTGGAAAATAATATAAGAGGAGAGACACCTGAAGTGACGCTAAGCCCAGCGTGGAGGTCACTTATGACTCTGCTCATCTGTTCTCTCCCTTTTTAGCCCCTTCTCCTTGCTCTCCATACAAAAGCCAATCTATGACAAATAGCTTTCCTTTCCAATTGCCTACTGAATCGGGGCTGATGGAAACATTACAAAATCTATTTTCCATTTGCATGATAGCTCCCTGCCTGAAACTGTCAGTGCACAGGGCGAGGCACTCCTAAGCCCCATCAGAATCAGAGCTAAGATTAATCTCTTCTCTTGGCTGTTGTCAATGGGGCTACGGGCCTAGAATATAAATATCTCCAAATCCTCAAAGCAGATTAGTCAGTTGTGAAATATGAGTGTGGGAAATGTTTCCATATGTCCACAGCATTTTCTGGTATTTTCCACCAAACTTAATATATACACACAAAACTCCCATCCCCTGGAAAGTGCTCACGCCAGGCAGAAACTTACATGCAGAAGGAGATGATACTTGAGAATCCGCTGCACTGGTTTCAAGAGATAGGACCCCAGAGGCAGCGAGTGCTTCAGAGTTTCCTGACGTTCCCTGAAGAATTTGGCCAGTATCTTGTTCCTCATGCACTCTGTTAGCACAGCCACGGATCTGCAGGAAGAATCCATGTTTTTATCTAAATTGTAATGCTTTATGTGGATATTCAAGTTTTAAATGCCATTACAAGTGTAAATGCTCTAAAATGGGTAGGGTAGTTCCAGAGCTGCAGCCAGATCAGCACGCCTTTAGGTGAACTGGAGAAAGGGGTCCCTCTGGGCGGGTGAATTAGAAAAAGGCACTGGACCCAGTGGCAGTGGCACCCTGGACTCATGGCTTCTAAGGAACAAGTTCCTTCTTTCTAGGAGACGCAGCCTTGTGCCAGGGCCCATGGCTTGGCAAAATGAGTGGGATTTTAGCCCCTAGCTGTGCCCTATCTGGGTATCTCTGTACAGTGCTCACACGGCACGTTTGTATTCCATTTCCACAGGTTAGATTATAAAGACTAGGCAGACTTTCTTTCTACTAAGAAAAAGGAGTTCCTTCCTGCTAGGAGATCCAGCCCCCTGTCAGAGCATTTATCACCCCCTCTGCCGGCCCCTTTTATATGATGCACAGACTGTGACCCTATGTGGTGGCCTTCCTTAGAGATCTCTTCCCTTGGGGGAATCTTCGAACAGGTCTCCCTTTCCACCTCCAAATTGTTATCCTTACATATAATACAGCTTCTGGGAAAGCCAGAGAGTCTTGCTCCGATAGAATGCACCTCAGATCAGGGTGTTCCAACAGTCGGTTAGAATTCCTTCAGCCCAGATCCCCCCGAGGTGCTGGGCATAGACAGCCCCAAAACATCTTAAGGCAATGGTTGAAACAATGCTCATATCACAAAGCAAGCTAATGGCTTGTGCAGTCACACACACGTAAATTAAAAATCTTTTGTTCTCAAAATGTAGAAGGAAGCAGGTGGAAATAATTTCAGCCCTTTTCTCCCTAAGTCAGTAACATTTTCAGGATTAATTGAGAAAATCAGATAGAGCCAAACAACAAAATAAGGCTGTGAAAAAGTTAAATGAAAGTTTCATAATTAAACCATTAGAATCCCTTTTGTGCCAATCTACTTTGAGAAAAATCTATTCACACTGATTTATTTTCCCCTTGAGTCAAGATTTCAAAACTCCATCATGTAACCTAGGAACGCTTCTAAGGTTCTTTAGAGTCAGAATCGGCTGCTCTGTAGCCCTTTGGCCACCTAAAGGCTTGGGCTCTTGCTTAAGGGTAAAAACCTGCAACAAATTAGAAGTACGCTGAGCTCCAGGTTCCTGGAAGTCTTGGGCACAGGCAGGCATCTGAGGACAAGGACCTGGCCGGGTTTGAGCCCCTCCCTGGGGAACAGAGTGTGGGAGCTTGTGTCTCTTCACAGTAAAATCACTGAGGTGTGACTGGTATGAAGATAGTGGACACTGTCAAGATGTGCCTGTGACATTTAATATCATCAGCCTGGCTCCAAAGGGGGAAGGAAAATTGTCAGATGGGCTGAAATACCTGGCACTTTTGGCTTGTTAAGTGGGAGAAAGGAACTTCGGGTCTCAGAGAGCAAACTGATTGGATACAAGCAGACAAGTTAAAATATTTCTCCATGAATATGAAAACCACACAATTGGGCAAGAAATGGACATGTCTTCTTCACTGAGAACAACTTTTGAGTACCTCTCTGCTAACATGTTTCTTCAGAGTCAGACTCAATTTTTTTTTTTTTTTTTTAAAGACAACTGTCTCACCAGGCACGGTGGCTCATGCCTGTAATCCCAGCACTTTGGAAGGCCGAGGCGGTGGATCGCTTGAGATCAGGAGTTCGAGACCAGCTTGGCCAACATGGTGAAACCCCATCTCTCCTAAAAATACAAAAATTAGATGGGTGTGGTGGCACGTGCCTGTAATCCCAGCTACTTGGGAGGCTGAGGCAAGAGAATTGCTTGAACCCGGGAGGCAAAGGTTGCAGTGAGCTGAGATCACACCAATGCACTCCAGCCTGGGCGACAGAGCGAGCCTCTAACTCCAAAAAAAAGACAACTTTCTCCAGAAAATTATCCTTAACCTTGAGCTTTTATTACACATTACTGAGTTTGTCCTGTGTTAATTTATATTTATTTGATCTTCCAGAACGTGCTCTTTCACCATTGCATTTAGTTGCATCTGACCTTCAAAAGAATAGAAACTGCTTGAAGGCAAGGGTATTGTTTGCTATTTCCTGCCAACTTACACCAGGCTTGGGACAGTGCTCCATGAATGACAAGCTCTTAAAAATGTCCTTGCGCAAATGATTTTGCCTTTTCCCTGGCTCTGAGGCAGCCTAGCATATATAGAGAGGCTGTTTTTATTTTGTACTCTTCTTAGTAAATCACGAAATCTTCTGAATTTGCAATTTTGGAAGTTTAAATTAAGAAGTTATTTCTTCAAATGATATGTTTATAATGAAATTTACACAAACATAATTCCCCAAACAAGCTCCTGTATCGTTTTAGATTCTCATAATTGGGTCCGGAACTTTGTTGATTCTTCAGAATCTGAACGTTTATTCCTTCCCTGAGGAAGAAGTTTTGTGGAGAAGTTGAGGGCCGATTCTGTGACCCCTCTGAGTTAGGGTGTGAGGCACGCTGGCTTTTGGTTTACAATCATGGGATTTAGCTGGGGCATCCTGCAATCTCCTGATGTTTTCAGCATTAAGATGGAAACAAATCCTTTAAGAGAGAAAATTGCTTAAGTGAAACCATGTAAATTAACTATGGGTGGGTCTACAGATAAGGATGTATAATAAATGTTCTAATATGCACGTGGGTCTATTTATTTATTTTTTGTTTTTTTTTTTAGGGGAAACTGGGGAAAGCAAGGATCCTCCAAGGGAAAATATTTGCCATGAGTAAGTTGAGCCTCTGAACTTCTGGCTTCTCAGGTTTTTTTTTTTTTTTTTTTTTTGAGACGGAGTCTCGCTCTGTAGCCCAGGCTGGAGTGCAGTGGCCGGATCTCAGCTCACTGCAAGCTCCGCCTCCCGGGTTCACGCCATTCTCCGGCCTCAGCCTCCCGAGTAGCTGGGACTACAGGCGCCCGCCACCTCGCCCGGCTAGTTTTTTGTATTTCTTAGTAGAAACGGGGTTTCACCGTGTTATCCAGGTTGGTCTCGAACTCCTGACCCCAGGTGATCTGCCTGCCTTGGTCTCCCAAAGTGCTAGGATTACAGGCATAAGTCCCTGGACCTGGCTGCTTCTTGGGTCTTTAAGATATAGGATCTTGCTCTGTTGCCTGGGCTGCAGTGCAGTGGTGCGATAATAGCTCACTGTAGCCTCAAACTCCCGGGCTCAAGCTATCCTCCTGCCCCAGACTCTTGAGTAGCTGTAGGACTACAGATGCATGCCACCACATGCAGCAACATCCTGGGGGTCTTTAATCTACACTAGCTTTCCGAGGTTACTCCTGACAGTGGGGAGCAGGGGACCTATTTGTTCTTCCTTCCAGAAGTAACACTCAGGGCTCAGCCTGTTGGCTTCTCTTCTAGGTGGATCCCACCATCCACTTTATCATCAGGGACCTGTCTACCAAGACTGGCTACAGAATGTGTAAAGTCTCCCTAGCGCTCTTCTTCCTGGCTGGTCCTTAAGATAACTCAAAGTCTGGCAGGGCGTGGTATAATTGCATCTACTCAGGAGGTTGAGGTAGGAGAATCGCTTGAACCCAAAGGTAGAGGTTGCAGTGAGCTGAGATCGCGCCACTGCACTCCAGCCTGGGTGGTGGAGTGAGACTGTCTCAAAAAAACAAAACGAAACAATCCATAACTCAAAGTCTGCTAATCATGTGGAAAAAAAGGAAAATAAAAAGGCAGGGGGAGAATCACAGTTTCAGCAACTTTTACAAGGACACATTCATAGTAGCACGAGGTCTTAGAAGTCGGAGAAGAAACCCTGGTTCAAATCCAGGTTGGGGCATTCATCAGCTATGCACCCCTCAGAGAATCACCTTACCTAGCAGAGCCTCAGTTACTTCATCCATGAAATGGGGAAGGGGCAGGGATGATGATGAACTAGCACTTATGAAGAACCTAGGAGGGGCCAGGCACTGGGATGGGTGCTCTGCTTTAAAAAAAAAAAAATCCCTCAATGTCTCTGGATTGCTTTGAAAAGTTAAATTTAGTATTTTGTATGTACAGCATTTAGTACAGTGCTTAGGAATTAGTAAGGGCCCAATAAATGTCTTCTGGAGAAAAAAAAGAAATTCCTACAGTTGTAGCCCATCATCTTAGGCCCAACTCTCTTACTGAAATGGTCAATACATTGTCCAAGGATGCTTCCTACCCGGCCCTTGTGACATTGATTTCCAATGCAAGAAAAACTGAACCAACAACCCAGGCGAGATAATGAAGCCCCTCTTCTCATCTAGGCTTATGATGATCTGTCCTTCCTCTGAACTCCCTTAAACTTATATAGTTCGTAAAATTTATTTGGAAAAAACAGAACCTGTTCTCTCCCCACCTAGATTATAAAAACTCATCAGCAATGTTTCCAAAATTCTTAAAAACATGACACACACAGAAAAGGGCTAGCAGGCAAGACTTACCCTGATGCGACAGCTTGCTTAGTTTCCTTTTGGAGATACCTAGTCACCTTTTTGGTTTCTCCATAGACTTTTTCAATTTTTCCCCACACTGGCTCTGCAGGGAGCCCCAAAGCCCAGATGGATCCATATCTGGGTACCCCTATAATCTGTTCTCAGCACGTTTTGCATTCTTCCCATATTATTCAGCACAAGGCCAGGCACAGAACACCTAACAACCATGTGTACTGCACCAGCTGACTTGAAACAATGTGAAAGTGAGCAAAAGTACTCTTGTCCCATTCTTGATCCATACCTTGGATAGTTAGTGCAATACTGGGTATAAATGTGGAACTCTTCACTCTGCAAGGAAACAGAAGACATTTTTATAGGAAACAAAGCACAGACACATTCATTTGAAAACAATAAAAAGAAATAGCATTTGGGCTTTGACATTTCTACATATATATATATATATATATTTTTTTTTTTTTTTTTTTTTTTGAGGCGGAGTTTCGCTCTCGTTGGCCAGGCTGGAGTGCAGGGGCATGATCTCGGCTCACAGCAATTTCCGCCTCCCCGGTTCAAGTGATTATCCTGCCTCAGTCTCCCGAGTAGCTGGGATTACAGGAATGCGCCACCATGCCCGACTTTGGTGGATTTCAATGTCTTTCACAATTTTTTCCTAGACTCTCAAAGAAAAGAGGTATGTAGACAGGGAGAGGAAGTGGCCGGAACTTTTGATGGTAAGACCGTCAGTCAGAATAACTAATTCAAGGCCAATGAATTCCTAGCTCTTGCAAAATCTAAAATAAAATTACTTTTTTTTTTTTTTGAGATGGAGTCTCGCTCTGTTGCCTAGGCTGGAGTGCAACGGCACGACCTCTGCTCACTGTAGCCTCTGTCTCCACCTCCCCAGTACAAGCAATTCTTGTGCTTCAGCCTCCCGAGTAGCTGAGATTACAGGCACGCGTCACAACGCCCAGCTAATTTTTTGTATTTTTAGTAAAGATGGGGTCTCGCTATGTTGGCCAGGCTTGTCTCTAATTCCTGGTCTCCAGTTATCCGCCCGCCTCAGCTTCTCAAAGTGCTGGGATTACAGGCATGAGCCACTATGCTTGGCCTTGAAATTATATTTTGAAAAAGAGCCACAGATTATTTTGGTGGGGTTTCATATTCTGCAATTTTTTTTAACTTTTACTTTCTTTTACTTTTTAGACCACTTAATGCTAGATTCACATGTGACTCTAAGTGCCTATTTTTTCTGGCAGCTTTAATGCTTTAATTTTTTAAAATTCTAAAATCTCTACTTAGAATCCTTCCTGTTAACCTCAACTGGAATTAGGTTAAACTTTTTTTTAATGGAAAGTTTCAAGTAGAGAGAATGGTACAATGAATCCCCAAGTTTCCATTGTCCAACCTCAATAATCATTAACTCCTTGTCTCTGTCCCCCGCCACTCCCCTGCTTCCCCATCATCCTGAATTAAATTCTAGACATCATTTTGCTTGTAAATAGTTTAACATGTATCTCTAAAATAAGGACTTTATTTTATTTTTTGAGACGGAATCTCACTTGTTGCCCCGGCTGGAGTGCAGTGGTGTGATCTCTGCTCACTGCAACCTCTGCCTCCTGGGTTCAAGCAATTCTCCTGCTTCAGCCTCCTGAGTAGCTGGGACTACAGGTGTATGCTACCACACCCAACACATTTTTTGAATTTTTAGTAGAGATAGGGTTTCGCCATGTTGGCCAGGCTGGTCTTGAACGCCTGGCCTCAAGTGATCCGCCTGCCTTGGCCTCCCAAAGTGTTGGGATTATAGGCATGAGCCACCGTGCCCAGACTAAAATAAGGAAACTAAACAGAATACCATTGTTACACTTAAATAATTCCATAACATCATGAAGTTTCACCAGTCACTATTCATATTCCCTTTTTTCTTTTTAAAAGATTTTGCCTGTTTGATTTGCAAATAAAAATCACACAGAGCAGTCTGGGCCTGGTGGCTCACGCCTGTAATCCCAGCACTTTGGGATCACGGCAGGTTAGGAGATTGAGACCATCCTGGCTAACACGGTGAAATGCCATCTCTACTAAAAATACAGAAAATTAGCCAGGTGTGGTGGTGGGCGCCTGTAGTCCCAGCTACTCGGGAGGCTGAGGCGGGAGAATGGCGTGAACCCGGAAGGCGGAGCTTGTAGTGAGCCGAGATCGCGCCACTGCACTCCAGCCTGGGCGATAGAGTGAGATTGTCTTTTAAAAAAAATAAAAATAAATAAAAATCACAGAGAGCAAATGGTTGCTATCTCTTTAATAGTCTCTTTTAAGCTTTCAGTTCTCCCCTATTTTTCTTCCTTTTGCAAGTGAGTTGAAGAAACCATACTGTTGTGCTGCACAGCCCCAGTTCCAGTATTACTGATGACATCCTTAGAGTTTCCTTGTTATTTATGTTTTTGAGATGGATTCTCACTCTGTTGCCCAGGCTGGAGTGCAGTGGCATGATTTTGGCTCACTGCAGCCTCTGCCTCCCAGGTTCAACTGATTCTCCTGCCTCACCCTCTCAAGTAGCAGGGATTACAGGAATGCGTCACCACACCTGGCTAACTTTTGCATTTTTAGTGGAGACGGGGTTTCCCCATGTTGGCCAGGCAGGTCTTGAACTCCTGACCTCAAGTGATCCACCCACCTTGGCATCCCAAAGTGCTGGGATTACAGGCGTGAGCCACCACGCCCAGCCTGGTTTCATTTAATATGCCCTGTCCATTATAGTCGTACTGGTTTAGTAGAGACTTGCTCAGATTTAGGTTCCATACTTTGGCACGATACACCAGTGGCTATTTTGTGCTTCCTCTAATGGAAGTACAGTGGAAGTCTAATGGAATCGGGAAGTCCAATGGACATAAAGTCTGGTTGTCTCTCTTCTGTGATGCTAACAACCATTGGTACTTATTGGCTAGATCTATTTATTTATTAGGGTTTGGAAAATGGTGGTATTTCTAATACTTTATTCCTTATTTATTAGCTGGAATCTTTCCAAAAATAGAACCTCCTTATATTAACTCTTGGTTACTCTGCAGTTTATGGTTTGTATGGGAAAGGCAGAATAAATGCTTAATTCTTTCTTTTTCAAGACAGGATCTTGCTCTGTCACCCATGCTAGAGTACAGAGGCGTTGTCATGGTTCATTTCAGCCACAACCTCCTGGGCTCAAGTGATCCTCCCACCCCAGCCTCCAGAGTATCTGGGACCACAGGCATGCCACCACCTCTGGCTAAGTTTTAAACTTTTTTTATGGAAACAGGGTCTTGCTATGTTGCCCAGGCTGGTCTCAAACTTCTGGGCTCAAGTGATCCCCCTGACTCAGCCTCCCAAAGCGTAATGGATTACATGCATAAGCTACCACACCCAGCCAATTCTTTCCTTTAATTTTCAAAATAATGCATTGATTCTCCAGTATCATGCAAATGTGATCAATTTGGTGTTTTAATATCACTGCAAATTCATTAATATGGGCCTATTTAATGAGTTTTCATTGTTTTCAGTTAATTATCTTCACTGATGCTCAAATTATCCCGTTTTTGGCTAGTAGGAGCCCCTTCTTGAGCATTCATGACCTGGCCTATGGTGTTTTGTAGCTTGTTTCCTGGTGTGACAAGATGTTCCAGACTATCGTGTATATTTCGTGCCCTACAGTCATTCTTCATGGAGTCCCTATTCCTTCTGGCAGGAAACAGTGTTGGGAGACCACAATCTGGGTATCAGGGACACTCTTGCTGTAGGGTAATCATCATTTCTAGGATTTCTCAGCAGACAGAGGTAGGAAGTGGTGTGTGTTTTTTTTTTGTTGTTGTTGTTGTTTGTTTTTGAGATGGAGTCTTGCTCTGTCACCCAGGCTGCAGAGCAGTGTTGTAATATCGGTTCACTGCAGCCTTTGCCTCCTGGGCGTGAGCCACCACGCACAGCCTGCTCTGTGTGATTTTTATTTGCAAATCAAACAGGCAAAATCTTTTAAAAAGAAAAAAGGGAATATGAATAGTGACTGGTGAAACTTCATGATGTTATGGAATTATTTAAGTGTAACAATGGTATTCTGTTTAGTTTCCTTATTTTAGTCTGGGCACGGTGGCTCATGCCTATAATCCCAACACTTTGGGAGGCCAAGGCAGGCGGATCACTTGAGGCCAGGTGTTTAAGACCAGCCTGGCCAACATGGCGAAACCCTATCTCTACTTCAAAAAATGTGTTGGGTGTGGTAGCATACACCTGTAGTCCTAGCTACTCACTACGGCCCAGCTGATATTATATTTAAAAAATATAATATATATATATATTTTTTTTAGTAGAGATGGGGTTTTGTCATGTTTGCCAGGCTGGTCTCAAACTCCTGGCCTCAAGTGATCTACACACCTCGGCCTCTCAAAGTGCTGAGATTACAGGTGTGAGCCACCGCTCCCTGCCTCCAAAGAAGCCTAATCTCTATTCTTTTCCCTTCTAGTCTGTTCCCTCCATTCCTGTATCAATTTTTAATCATTTTTAACCTATTTTTAATTATCAATTTTTAATCTTACAGGCTTTCATCTCCTAGATAAACAAATGTTATACCAGTGATCCTCAAACTTGAGTATCAGAATTACCTGGAGGGCCTATTAAAACATAGATTGCTGGGTTTCTGATGTAATAGGTCTTGGAGTAGGGCCTAGGAGTCTGCATTTCTAACAAGTTCCCAAGTGACGCTGATGCTGCAGGTCCAGGACCACACTTTGGGAACCACAGTGCTGTACACACACTTTTATCCACTCCCTTCCCCGAGGAGTGTAAAAAGATTTTTTTTTTTTTTTTTGAGACAGAGTCTTACCCTGTCGCCCAGGCTTGGAGTCCAGTGGCGCAATCTCAGCTCACTGCAACCTCCGCCTCCTGTGTTCACGTGATTCTTCTGCCTCAGCCTACCTAGTAGCTGGTAATACAGGTGCCTGCCACCATGCCTGGTTAATTTTTTGTATTTTTAGTAGAGATGGGGTTTCATCATGTTGGTCAAGTTGATCTTGAACTCCTGATCTCAGGTAATCTGCCCGCCTCGGTCTCCCAAAGTGCTGGGATTATAGGCGTGAGCCACCATGCCCGGCCAAGATATTCTTTACTGTTATTGCTTCACAGTACTTCATTATGTGGATACCAAAGTTGATTCAAACTGGTTCTTGTTTAGGGACTTGGCTGTTTCTAGTCTTTTGCAGTAACAAACATTAAACAGTATTATGCTTACATGAATTTCTGTCAGTGTATCCTTGGAATAGATCTCTCGATGTAGGACTGATGGGTGAAAGGGTGAATTCAGATGCCAGATACACAGCCCAATTCCTCTCCATAGGGGCCGTGCCATTTTCTTTTCCTACGGTTGTGAGAGTGTCTGTTTCCCCATGGCCTTGCCAACATTTCAAGCATTGTACCAAATTTTCAAGCACGCTATTTTAAAAAGTCTAAATTAGTTGCCAACTTTTAAAAGTTGAAAGATACAAATATTTTTATTTCAACCAGGCACGCTGGCTCACGCCTGTAATCCCAGCACTTTGGGAGGCTGAGGCGGGTGGATCACTCGAGGTCAGGAGTTCAAGACCAGCCTGACCAACATGGAGAAACCCTGTCTCTACTAAAAAAATGCAAAATTAGCCGGGTGTGGTGGCACATGCCTGTAATCCCAGCTACTCGGAGGGCTGAGGCAGGAGACTTGCTTGAACCCGGGAGGTGGAAGTTGTGGTGAGCCGAGATCGCACCATTGCACTCCAGCGTGGGCGACAAGAGCGAAACTCCGTCTCAAGAAGAAAAAAAAAATATTTCAATTTCTAGCTTCTCCTGAAGAAGCATAAGACCCACCAGCCCTGGGCCTGCCGTTTCACACAGCAATGACCATCTCCAGGAGACCAGGCAAACACCTCGATCGCTACAGATTCTACCTGGGCCCCTCTATGCACCTGAGTTCGCTTATGGGTTCTTGAAGCCAGCTCTGGCTCCATGGATGAAAATGCCAGAGTGACTTGCCCAAGGTCTGTGAGCAAGCTAATGTACCAAATGGGGACTTTTCTCTGATTGGCTCATACTTTCTGAGTTTCTTGCTTTTTCTTTCCTGCCACTTGCTATACTCAACCTGGAATAGAATAATATCAAGTTGACTTTCCTTACAATTTGGGACCTGCAGGATCATTTAAAATACAAATGAGAAAACAATGGTTTCAATGAAAGTAGGTTGACATTGCATAATATAGTGACCTACTTGTACCCAGCTATCATAAGACCTCATGACTTACGCACGATTGAATTTCTGTGCATTTTGTGATATCATGGCTCTATTCCTATTTTAAATTGGAGGGTTTTGATTTAAATCAGCTATATGTCCTTAATTGGAATTAAATGCAAGTTTGCCCTTAGGTTTGTGAAGCTCTGTGGACCTTAAAAATGACGGTTTCACATAAAAATCAACAGTTCCTAGTTAGATACCATTATTTATTAAATATGCCACCCCAAATCTGCTTAGAAGGATTTAGGGGAATGTGTTATACAAATATATACAAATTACAAGAAAATATATTCCTTCTAGTTTTTCAAATCTTTCAAATTGTAATTAGAGATGACACAGAAATGAGACATTTAATTATGAAAGAGCCAAAATATGATATAATCAGTGCTGACCAATCAAGCACATGGGTCCTTCAAATATTGATTGAATAGGGAGCCAAAGTAAAGCAATATGTATGATTTTAGGGTTTCTTCTGCCACAGGGTCCTCCTCTCCCTGATTCCTGAGAAGTTTTCACTGGACACTACAAGAAAGACTGAATATGTAAATAGCATATGGGAAAGGTAACTTTGACTTAAATTCACGCTAATCATATGACTATCCAATATCCACACTTCCTTGAGGATAATTTTAGAAAGTGGGTGGTACATGTGCATGCTTTCGTGTGTGTGTGTGTGCATGTGTGTGTGTATATATGCGTGTGTGTGTGCACACACACTTCCTGGGCTCTAAAAGGAAGAAGACACAACACAATGAGGGAGAGTAGGCAGCTAAGGGGAGGTTGAGGCTCTAAAGACAGACTTTGTCTCCCTCCTAAATGTTGCCCTGGGTCAGCCTTGCTGCCAGTCAAGAGGAGGGATGGGTGTGAAGGTGGAGTTTGTAAAAGCAGCAAAGTGAGCCATTCTAGGTGTTTCCAGGGACCTAAAACAGACAAATGTTTACTGGAAGAAGGTTTGGCCTGCCCAGTAGGAAACTTTAATTTCCGTCCTTCGAGAGAACTGTGGGTTCATTCTTCTATGAGCATCAGGTAAAAAGCGACCATGTTCTCCATTTGTTGATAAGGACTTCTGTAACCTACACATACCATGACAGTAAGCAAGGTCAAAGATGAATCTCTGTGCAGGCCCCAGTGGTTCAGATAAAAGCAGAAGTCAACTGTCAGCTTCACCTCTTTCATTAATGGCCTCCCAATTAAAGCAATTTTCCATTCCTCCCTAGAGTTGAGCAGCTGGTTGTGTTTCAGAAGATGTAACATCTTCTAAATGTCAGGGTGCTGAGTGAAAGGCAGGCAGTGCCTGAGCCCAGCACTCCCTCACGATTCCCCGTTACCATGTGAAAATGCAGAGTGCTCAAGTCAGTCTTCTAATTAAACTTGGCAATATTACAATGAAAAGGAAGATTTGGGAGTTGGCAACACGGCACATAAACAAACTTTTATGTGAATAATTAAGCGAGAGCTAAGCATACGCTGGAACATCTTTAATCAACTTGTGATTACAGTTACCAGTAAAAGCCCAAACATTTCCGAAAGCTTCTACGTTGTTTATGTGCTGTGGTTATTCTAACATATCTCCTTTGATATACTCAGCATATCTTTTTACCCATTTCGCCTTCTTTCATTTTTCTTCTTTTTTTCAAATCCCTGTCCAATTTTGACACAGGCAACTGTGAAAAGGATTGTAAGTTTAAGCTTACACATGGGTAAACGTGTGTGCACAAACATTTTACATGTGAACACACACACACAAAGTCAGGAGAGTTTTATATACGAGCCCATGGATTGCCTTTAAGGAACTTTGCTCCAATAAAACCCAGGGTGTTGTGTTTGGAAGCCATCCGGATGGATCTGCCGCCATCAGAAATGACCCTGTGGAACAGTCCAGAGCCAAGTCAGACTGGAACCACGTCTCCCAGTTCACACCCGACTCCGGAGCTCGAAATACAGTGCTAATTCCCAGTGGGTCTCAGAGCGCCATCATGAACTTTTATTAAACCTTCGTGCATTTCAAACTACAACTGCAGAAACCACATGAAAGTCTGCTGCAAAACAATTTCTGCTAAAGGCTTTCCAAAGCTGTTGAATATTTAAGATAATTTAAACAAGACAGGAATCTTTATATACTAGGTAGCATGCTGAGAAAGTAATGTAGGAAAGGCTCGCCGGGTAGGTTTCAGAATTCCATCTCCTATTCCAGTTCAGAGCACGAGCTCACTGTCATTTAAGCTTTGAAAGTCAAATCCTTTCCTTGTATTTTTTGAAACCATTGATGCAGCTTAAGAAAACAGTGGAAGAGTACATTTTTTAAAATGCAGGAGATTAATTCTGCGTCTCTCTATCCCTCAAAAGATAATTATCTATATTAAAGATAATCACAGAGACTAGGCTAGTGCCACATATATTATATGTAAAATATTTAGATTCTCTTGGACTTTCACTAAAACTAACCTTTCACTTTCACTAAACTAAAACAGTTTAGTGGTGTTTTATATTTTTCTAACATTCATCTTCTTTTTTTTCTTTTGAGACAGAGTCTTGCTCTTGTCACCCAGGCTGGTGTGCAATGGCATTATATCAGCTCCCACTGCAACCTCCACCTCCCGGGTTCAAGTGATTCTCCTGCCTCAGCCTCCCGAATAGCTGGGATTACAGGCATGTGCCACCACGCCTGGCTAATTTTTGTATTTTTAGTAGAAACGGGGTTTCACCATGTTGGCCAGGCTGGTCTCGAACTCCTGACCTCAGGTGATTCGCTCGCCTCAGCTTCCCAAAGTGCTGGGATTACAGGTGTGAGCCACCGTGCCTGGCCTATTTTTCTAACATTCTTCTACTCCGGGCTGTCCCCTCCCAAGCTTTAAGTTTTTCCCAGCAAAGAGTAACATTATTCAGTTACTATACAAGTTCTAGAAAAACTACGAGATTAGCGTCTCCCTGGCTCCAGGAACAATACATTTTTGCTACTCAAACAAACAAACCAGAGAAAGATTAGTGGCTAACTCTATCTGATATGAAACAAACCAGTCATTTTAACTTTAAAATGAAAAATTCTGTACTCTGTATCTGTCTCAGTTGGCCCAGAAGGATGAACCCTGCTTACCTTGGACACAAAACACTCTGCTATGGCCACAGGATCATTTTCACAGTTTTCCAAATCTTGCAGAAGTTCACTAATAAAAAAATAACAGCCAGGAAGTATTAGATTGTAGTCTTCTGGGTGAGTATATTTCATATAATTTAAAAGTTTAAACATTTCCATGGCATTTACAAGGAATCATATAATTGGATAACTGAGGACCTGCTGTCATTGTATCCAATGATACAATGTTTACAATGATACAATGATACAATGTAAGGGACTTGCCCAAGGTCATGCTGGAGCAGGGGATTAAACCCAGGTGGAACCCGTAGTTCTCCCACCAGAGCTAAGCCCTGCCTACCTTTAAGTTTTGCAGACATTTGTCATCATCTACATGAATGCTCATTGATGCTCATTCAGACATCAAATAGCTGCCTGGGTACCAGGTACAGTGTAAAGGATTAGGAACACATCAGTGAGCAAAGTGAGATATGGGCTCTCGGGGATCCCCAACCTTTTTGGCACCAGGGATCGGTTTCGTGGAAGACAACTCTTCCACAGACTGGATTGTGGGGATGGTTTTGGGATGATTCAAGCATATTACACTTATGGTTAGATTCTCATAACCTAGATCCCGCGCCTGCACAGTTCACAGACTGGTATTGGTCTGTGACCTAGGGGTTGGGGACTACGTGGCTCTGGTCTTATGGAGCTTCCAATCCACTGGAAGAGTCAGGCATTCAATGAAATATCACACTAATGAATACAAAATTATAATAGAGATAGTGCTTTAAAGGAGAGATATGTTGGGGAGGGAAATACCTTTCCTCAAATGTAAACCCACTTTTTTTTTTTTTTTTTTTTTTTTTTTTTTTTTTTTTTTTTTACTGGGAGTATCATTATTTTAAGTAACAGCATAATACTTCATTGTGTGACTGTACCATAATTAATTCAATGAATCTCACACTGTTGGATAAAATTCTATATATGGTATTGATGGGTCAAAGAATATTCTTAGTGTAAATGTTAACACATTTCTAAATTGCACTCCACATGAGTTATATTAATATACACTTTACTATGCTAAGTGTTTATTTTAATGAGCCATATGTTATATATTTAATAAAAAGTGAAGTAGTTCTACAGGAATTATGATAAAAACAAGCAGTTTCTGGTTCTCTGCTTCTCATTCTCGATGGGCACTGCCCAGAAGCATTTCTGATTCTTTAGGCTGTTTCTGCTCTAAGAAGGTCCATGTCTCTAAGCATGCTGATAATGTGTTCTCATTATTTTTCAGTTTTAGATATTATTTACTTCTCAGTTTCCCCAAACTTACCCTTTTGTCTTCTCAATAGTTCTAAGATTATCTCTCTCTCTTTTTTTTTTTTAAATTTTAGAGACAGGGTCTCACTCTGTCAACCAGGCAGGTCCTCCTGGGTTCAAGTGATCTTCCTGAAGTGTTAGGTAGTGTGAGCCACTGTGCCCAGCCTTCTCAACTAGTTCTGTTATGTAATTTGATTCGATTAAATGTCAGAATTTACATCTTTAAGACTATGTAAGTATTATGCCCTGTTAGCCTTATAGTATACCATGATTTCATTTCCTTTCTTAGAGAACCATGTTTTCCCTGGAGTTAAAATTCTCTTTTTTTTTTTTCCTTTTTTCAAGATAAACACTATTAATTTATTAGCAAGTTGTGTGCTAGAAGTATAAGTCTTGTCTCACTGTGTTCAAATATATATTCTATGGTTTGCATTTCTTTCTTGGTAACCTCTGCTCCAACCTGGACAGGCTGCTCTCCAGTCCTGCTGGTTCTTTCATCAACACCTTCCTAATGCTAGCCTTCGCTAGTCTCCTGTATTGCCATTTCCAATGTATTCCTTCCTTTGGGAGATTATAAAATTGAGCAATAGCTTTCTGAGTATGAGTAAAGTATGAGTAACAGGAGGTATGCTTTCTGAGACTCTTCCCATTTCAAAAATGCTCTCCCTTCACACTTGGCTAATAATGTCAGTAGATATAAAAGTCTTGGTTGGAAGTAATTTTCTTGGAGTATTCAGGGAGCTATTTGTCTACCTGTTGATTTATAGATTCTAACGCTGCTATTGAGATTCCAGTATCATTCTGATCCCCAGCCCATTCTGAAAGCTTTCAGAGTTTCTCTTAGTTGACATAATTACAAAATTTTGTGATAACAGGCTTTGGGTGGGTCTTTTTCATGCACTGAGCCAATGTACAAATTTGGGAAATGATCTGGATAGCAGTTCTCCAAGTGTGGTCTAAGGACCCCTGGGGTTCCTGAGACGAGACCCCTTTAGGAGGTCCACAAGGTTGGACCTCATAAAAAATACTGGGACATTATTAAATTTTTAAACTTTCATTCTCTCATGAGAGTACAGTGAACTTTTCCAGAGGCTACATGACGTGTGATATCACAACAGATGGAAACTTGAAGCAAAAATGAGAATTCAGTTGTCTTCTAGTAAGTCAGGCAGTAAAAAGATCTGTGAAAATGTAAAACAGTTCCAAAACAAACAAAAAAATTTACTGGAAAAAGTAGTAAAATTATTTTTCTAGAAATATGTGGACTTGTTTCTTTTTTAGTATTAAATAAATAGATATCTTAACAGGTTCTCAGTTTTCGTTTCTAACGTGGCAAACAAAACATAATAAAACACAAACAAAAAAGCTTTTTGGGTCCTTCATAATTTTTAAGCATGTAAGAGATCCTGGACCAAAACACTTGAGAATCTCTGCTCCTGGCTGGGTGTGGTGGCTCACGCCTATAATCCCAGCACTCTGGGAGGCCGAGGCGGGCATATCACCTGAGGTCAGGAGTTCGGGACCAGCATGGCCAACACGGTGAAACCCCATCTCTACTAAAAAAATTCAAAAATTAGCCGGGTGTGGTGGTGCACACCTGCAGTCCCAGCTACTCGGGAGGCTGGGGCAGGAGAATCGCTTGAGCCTGGGAGGCGGAGATTGCGGCGAGCCGAGATTGCTCATTGCACTTCAGCCTGCATGTCAAAAGTGAGACTCCATATAAAAAAAAAGAAAAAGAAAAAAAAGAAAAATCTCTGCTTGTGAATTATGTCTTTGATATTTCCTTCCTTCTAGTTTTAAAGTTCCTATTATTCACATATTGAATATCCTGGTTTAATATGCTAATTTTCCTTATTTTTCCTCTTCTATTTTCTATCTTCCTGTTTATTGCTCCATTTTTTTTTTGGTGGGGAGAGACCTCCACTTTATTTCCCATCTATTTTTTTCCCCCATTTCTTGTATTGACTTTTTGTTTGTTTCAATCATCAGATTTTCAATTTCAAAGTTGTTTTTTTTTTTGAGACGGAGTCTCACTCTGTCACCCAGGCTGGAGTGCAGTGCCACCATCTCCACTCACTGCAAGCTCTACTTCCCGGGTTCACGCTATTCTCCTGCCTCAGCCTCCCAAGTAGCTGAGACTACAGGCGCCCGCCACCACGCCCAGCTAATTTTTTGTATTTTTAGTAGAGACGGGGTTTCACCGTGTTAGCCAGGATGGTCTCGATCTCCTGACCTCGTGATCCGGCTGCCTTGGCTTCCCAAAGTGCTGGGATTACAGGCGTGAGCCACCGCACCTAGCCTCAAAGTTGTTTTTTTTTAAACATGCTTTTTGGATGTTTCTTGCTTATGCTTCTGTTCTTATTTCATGGGTGCAAAATCTTCCCTTATTTCCAAAGATGCCATGATGATGATAATGATTTTGTACTTTTCTTTCCTATTCTTTGTTTTCTGCTGAGCTCCCTTTTTGATGATTTTAGCTTCTGTCATTCATATTAGATACTGCTCTCAAATTCTGAGTATCTTCATTTGTCCTTTCATATTTGAAAATGAGCCACAACGTCAATCATGAACTCTTCACAGGGATGGAGTTTATCGTGTGGTGTTCCTCATTCCAAGGCAGTGGTTCTGAAACTTTTGGCGTCAGGACCTGTTCATACTCTTAAAAAATTTAGTGAGAAGAGTAGCATTATTTCCCATTTTTGCAAATTTTTAATCTCTAACTTAATAGAACATAGCTGGATTCTCATAGCTGCTTCTGCATTCTGTCTGTTGCAATCTGTTGTTCTGGTTGAAGTATATAGGAAAAAAAAATCCAGCCTCACACAGATATGTCACTAGAAAAGGAAAGAGTATTTTAATGGCCTTTCCAATTAAGTATGGATAGTCCACTAATATCCTTCATATTACACTGAAACTCAGCAAGCGGTAATGGGTTAAAGACCTGTTTGAGTCTGACACCACATCAATGCACTATACTGTTACTTTATTTTATTTTATTATTATTATTATTTTTTTGAGACAGAGTCTCGCTCTGTTGCCCAAGCTGGAGTACAATGATGTGATCTCGGCTCACTGTAACCTCCACCTCCCGGGTTCAAGCAATTCTCCTACCTCAGCCTCCCACCATCACACCCAGCTAATTTTTGTATTTTTAGTAGAGACGGGGTTTCACCATGTTGGCTGGGCTGGTCTTGAACTCCTGGCCTGAAGTGATTGGCCTGCCTCAGCCTCCCAAAGTGCTGGGATTACAGACGTGAGCTACCACACCTGGCTACTGAACCATTAGTTTAAAATCCAGTGGCCTATCTTGTATTTAGAAAGGATCTTTTAATACAGTCCCAATTCCAAACATTTTTCTCCATATTCCTATAAAACACTCCCTTTGTAAGATCAGAAAATATAGTTCTGATATTTATATCATTTTCTTTTATAGAAAGATGGGTGTGATTAAATTAACTCTTTTCCCATTTAGAAAAAAAAGTTCAGCTCTCTGCCAATACTCTCTTAATTTTATATAAGCATGCTCTTTGAGGCTGAAGCTAATCTGACTGGTTTTCTTTTCTTTTTTTGGAGATGGAATCTCGCTTCTTCACCCAGACTGGAGCACAATGGCACGATCTTGGCTCACTACAACCTCCACCTCCCAGGTTCAAGAAGTTCTCCTGCCGGCCGGGCGCGGTGGCTCAAGCCTGTAATCCCAGCACTTTGGGAGGCCGAGACAGGCGGATCACGACGTCAGGAGTTCGAGACCATCCTGGCTAACACGGT